TATATATATAGATATAGATATGTAGCACTGCTGCATCATGTCTTGGTATATATAGAGCCATTTCCAATGCCGATACATGCCGGGGGAATGAGAGACAGAAAGACAGTGCGCATCGGGAATGATCCTTGAGGCAGGCTTAGACAGACTAACAGACAGACAGAGATTCAAAATCCAAGCAATGGAATGCTTCTCTCCTGTCAGGCCCATTTCCAGCCTTTGGAAAAAAGACACGACGTCGACAGGCAGGCAGACCACTTGAGGGAGAGGGGCCGATCGATGCCTTCCCCTCCCCCTCGCTCGGACGAGTGTCTCTTCATCTGGTACCTCGGACGGTCTGCTCCAGCATCTGGATCTGGAGAGGGGGAGGAGAGAAGAGAGAAGCTGATGCACCGCACTGCACGGCACCCTAGCCGAGAACGTCAAATTCTCATGAACAGATGGATGGATGGGTGAAATAATGACTGAGAAGGAGCCTCGGCGCGATCTACATGGAATATATAGCCGCGCAGATCTACCCCGTCGTGTGTGTGTGTGTGTGTGTGTGTGTTGCATCGAAAATAAGGACGGGCCCAGTGCCTCCGAGAAACTTGGAGTTGCTAAGCTGGCAGGCGATATTGAGCAGAAAGAAAAGTTGAAGTGACTGACGAGCTGGGTAGCTACTCGATACCGAGCAGTCAGAGGTCTCTTCCGTACTACTCTCCCCTAGGTCAGTACGTAGGTACCTCTATGCCTGCCATGCGGGTAGACAAGAAGAGAGCAGCTTGCGGGAAATACGACAGGGCAGAGCAGGACAGGTTAGGGCACGGGATACCGAGCGGGATCTGGGAGGGAAGGGGAGGCTGCAGGCCCAATCTCAGTCGGTCACTTGGATTCCCTTGTTCCCTTGTTGGTTTGTTGTGTAGCCGCTCAGCTTCGCCTGGCCTGGCTTGGGGGAGAAGAGGGAAGAGCAAACGGACTGGGCGGTCAAAGGTTCCGATTGATGGGAGACGCCCGAAGATCAGGTTAGTGGATAACTCGGCATAAGACGTTGATATACAAGTGTGGAGTATACCCGGGGATGTGACCACGACCGCGGTTTGTGAGCCGAGGATGACAGACGAAGATGAAAGGGGCCTCGCTTAACACCCAGTCCAAACATGATGCGCCAAACATCGTTTGAAGTTGAATCAATCCATACCACGATAGGTTCCGGCTTCACCCACCCAGGTCCCCGGGGCGCTGCCGTGTAGTGATGGAATCGTACGATAAGTACGATTGATACTGCTGAAGATGAGATGAGATCTGGCGGCGTGGCGGCCCAAGTACCTCCTTCAATCTTCGCTACACGTACACAGGACACGGTACACAGGGCATGGTACACAGTACACGCTGTATAGAGAAAAGAACTTGGAACTTGGAACTTGGAACTTGGAAGCTCACGCCGCTCACGTTGCTGTAGTTGCTGTAGTTGCTGCCGCTTGGCCCGGCACTTGCAGATTGTGAGAGGCGCCCCAATCACGAGAAGAGTATAGGTATCGGGTATCGGGCAGCTTGCAGCTGCCAGGCACAATCAAACTCAACGGTGGACCCTAAGAGACTAGCAGTCGGTACATATAGTATTTATTTTGGTATGTCCTTTGAAGATCGAATCGTGTCAGAGAGGGAGATGTATATTAATGCATATATGTGTTTATATGTGTGTGTATATGTATATGTATATGTATGTATAGAAACAAAAACAAAAACAAGTGCAACATGTCTCTCGCCTGTTCTAGGTTCTACTACCATGAGGATAAGTCATGCAAGGAAGCAAGTCTGGAAGCTTTTCCGACCCCTGACCTGACCAAAGCTGACCTCCGACCCTCCGACAACCCCCATTGACTCTCAACTCCCGCCACCACCACACCCACCCAGCAGTTCAACCCCAGGTCTTCCGGTCTTCCTGTCCCGGTCTTCCAATCGTCAGACATCCATGGCACGGGGACACGCATCAAATTGGCTTTGGGTCCGCCAGGTACAGTGGCGTGGTGTACAGAGACAGAGAGCATTCACGAAATTTCTTCTTCAGAGGGAGGGCAGCAGGGAAGAGAGGGGGGGGGAGAGAGGAGAGAGGAGAGAGATGAGAGAGTGCTTGCTTTCGTCGAACTTTAACCTTATATGATTTCTTTCCTACTTCGATTGTCATTGTCCGATGTCTTTGTATCAAAGCTCTCCTCCTGTCCCTGTCTTTCTATCACCCATCCTTCATCTTCATCATCCTCGACTCGTCAGTCAAACTAACCAACCTACCTACCCAGCCGCGGTACTTCTGCCTGCACTTCATTTATTCAACGGCAGAGGCAGCGGCAGAGAGCCAGTGGATCATCAGCAGCGTTGTGATCAAGCTACCTACCTAACTACTTAACTACCTCCCTCCCTCCCTGCCTCACCTACATATCAATCCACCAGTTCCATCCGGGCGCAGCGGCAGCAGCAGTACCGGTACCCACCGCACGACCAAGCCCAACCCCAGTCCTGCCTCTCCTCTGCTCCCCGGAATCCGAGTCTGGAATCAGAACTTACCATAAACTCTGTCTGACCTCCTTGCTGCAGCGGCCAGAAGTCTTGTTTTGTTCTCGATTCGGCTCTTGTACGTACTTAAGCGATTTGTTGACTTGCCGCTTCAGCTTTTCAATTGTCAACGCCGTACCGGTATATATCTCGCGAACCAAAGCTACCTCACCAAAGCTGGGCTTCCTCGTTCGGGGACAATCCGATCAGTGCAGACCTCCCCCGTCTGATTGGCGCTCATCATCCCCTTCAGGATCCCCAAAAAATTCCCCTCCCCCCCCCCACCGCAAGCTGCAGCAGCGCAGGCATCTCGCCCTGGACGTGCTGCCATGCGCCCATGAGCCTTGGTCAGCCCTGATAATGCAACGGGCCCATCTGTTCTTCACACACCTCTGCCATCTTCCCGGCGCAAGCTGCCCCCCATCATGTCTGCTCGGCCGCAGGTGGGCATCGAAAGACTCCCAGCACGTCGCATGAGCAACGAGCCGCGAGAATCGATGAATTGCAAGAGCTGTAGGAAGCGAAAGGTTGGCTGTGCCGGCAAAGAATATCTTCCGCAGCACTGACAATTTCTCCAGATCAAGTGCAATCGGCTGCGACCAAAGTGCGAGGCGTGTCAGGTCTTCCAATGCCCTTGTGTTTATGGTGGGGTGAACCCAGTCAGTCCGTCGGAGCCGCGGAAACCTGGCTAACAGAGAGCAAAGATGCCGTTCCTAAGAAGCGAGGACCGAAGACAGATGTCCTGGAGGCTTTGCTGAAGAGGGTGGATGGCTTGGAGAAGAGGTTGAAAGATGAGAAGAAGTCCACCTCTCCCGGTAAGAACGAGGGTGGCCATGACTCTGCCGAGGAGCAAGAGAGCCCCAACAGTGACTCGAGAGAAGTCAAACGACCTCAACTTGACACAGCAAACATTCCAAACGAATCTGCAGTCTATTCCCCCACCCCAACCAGGTGAGGTCAATCGCAGGATGATCTAGCATGGGAACTTCACTCACAAGTGGTAGTGAACCTTCGCCGCCGCCAACCGTACCATCCGACGTGCTCCTGGACACTTACTTCTTGAGATGTCACGGGAAGGTATACTATATCCTCGACGAAAGCACGACACGACAACGGATGCAGTTGAACCAAATACCGACGTATCTAGTCTTCGCTTTATATGCTGTGAGTTCGAGGTATGATCCCCCGACTCCAGCGACTCTGCGCGCAAGCGAAGCTGATGTCGGCCGTCAGGTATACCGCGCATCCGAATGGATATCACGCGGCCGTGCGACTCAGCGAAGACTATGCAGTCCGCTCACGGTCAGAGCTGGACATCGATGATCCCTCTATTGATTGTCTGCAGGCACTGCTGCTTCTCGCAGTCGCGTTTACGGCTGCTGGCAATGGCAAGAAGGCGCACATGATGCTCGGTAGGAATATCAACAGCTCACTGTTGAAGGCTCGCTAACAACAGTTCAACAGCAAGCGGGATTGGGATGGCCATGGCACTCGAGCTACATCGCGAATTTGACCTCGAGACTCGGGTGACACCAGTCGAGAAGGAAATGCGACGGCGATTATTCTGGACCTGCTACCTCATGGATAGGTTCATGGCATGCGGATCTAACCGACCTTCACTGATCGCCGACAAATGCATCCTGTTACGACTTCCGTCATGGACCCCCAGACCAGCAGCCCTACCTGTTGAAGGGGAGTTCTTCCAGAATGGATCGAATCTCCAGTATCATTCTGGCTCCGGGAAGAAGAGCCAGGGGAGCAGTGGCATGCTGATTGACATTGTCCGCATCCTCGGAATCACGAATCGCTATCTCGCAGCTGGCGGCGTCAAGGGCGACAGCCACTTCCCCTGGCACTCACTATCTAACCTGTCGAAGATCCGGCAGGATCTGGACGTCTGGGCGTCGGGCACACAAGATGTCTTCGCCTCTATTGATACGCTGTTCGGGCAAGCCGACAGCACGACGCTGGTCCTCGGCAAGCTCATCTACCACCTCATCCATTGCCTTATATACCGGCCCTTCCTCCCGATCGACCTCGCCGAGCTCGCCGGAACAGGCCAACATCAGTCGTGGCAGATTGAAGCCACGAATCTGTGTTTCCTGCACGCTAACGCCATTGCCGAGTTGGTCGAGTTGGGTAAGTGCTGCTCTCTCAGCTCATATATACATATCTATATATCTATATATCTATATATATACACACTTCCTCAGAGAAAAAGAAAGCTGATTGGACTCAGGCAAGCAGTCTGTGGCCATCGAATGGCCTGCGTTTGTGGGATACTGTATCTGCACCGCAGGAACCGTACATGTCCACGGCAGCCACTACACCGGCGGCCGGGAGGGCGAGGTGTTTTCTGCGTCCGCCGACTTTCTCTCGCGGGAGATGCAGCAGCTCTCGGAGCTGCGCTACGCCTGGTCCTTGGTGCAGCACCAGCGCGACACGCTGCAGACCATCTACGCCTGCCACTCGGAGCTCGCGCAGTCGCTGGCTGCCGGCAACAGCTCCTCTCGCTACAGCCCCGTCCTGTTCCACCTCGAGGACTTCTTCGATCGCTACGCCGCCGTTGGCCTGGGCCGCGCCTCCTTCGACGGTGCCCACGTCTCCTTCGCCGACGTGCTCCTCGCGTCCCTCTCGCAAGAGCGCTACACTGGCCACGACCTCTACCACCACCCCAGCCGCGGCAGCAACGCCTCCATGAGCTCCAGAATGGAGCAGCAGCAGCAGCAGCAGCAGCACCACCCATCCCAGCTACCCTCCTCCAAAGACAAGCCGTCCGCCTCGCGCAAGAAACGCCTTGACCTCAAGCTCCTCGCGCAGCACCGCCCTTCTTCTAGCTCCCACCCGGACCCACCACTCTCGGCATCAACAGCAACACTCGTCCTCTCCTCGCCTATCGACAACAATAACAACAACACCACGACCACCTTAAGCGCCACCACCCACCAGAACCTCGCCGATATGGCCCATGACCCAATACCCCCCCAACCGCCCTTCTCCCCCCCTCCTCCTCTCCCGCATACCTTTCCATCTCTGCATTCCAACCACCACAACCACCACCACCAAAACCAACAACACCACACCAACCCCCACAACCACCAACAACAGCAGCAGCAGCAGCAGCAGCAAGACCCCACAAGCTACGACCCCATGTTCGGCCTCTCCCCCCGCCTACCCTTCACCTACCCCCCTTACCTCATCCATACCCACAACATCAACAACATCAACAACGGCCACAACACCAACGCAGACCTCACCACCACCTCGCCCAGCGCCAGCACGGGCACGGACGAGCGGGAAGATCCCTTCTTGAACTTGCTGGAGCAGCTGGCTGAGAACGAGAACGAGCTCGAACTGGAACTGGACCTTGAGCGTGACTGTGAGCGTGACTGTGGACGTGGATGTGGACGTAGATGTGAACATGGATGTGAACATGGATGTGGAAATGGGAATGGGAATGGGAATGGGAACGGGAATGGATGTGAACATGGATGTGATATAAGGGGGGGCACGGGCGCGAGTGCGAGTGAGTTGGACTTCTTCTTTGGTGGTGGTGTGGGAGGGGGAGGAGGGGGTGCGTCGCAAGGGAACCAAGGAAGGTAAAAAAAAAGGTGAAGAGAGGGTGCCATGTGGGAGATGAGATGAGATGAGATGAATCGGAATGATACCTTTTTTTTCTCATCTTATTTTTTTTTTATAAAAAACCTTTTTTACAAAAGAAGCTATAATTGCTATTTTTAAATGGTCGTCTTTTCTTCTTCTCGTTATATTCCATTATTACCACATCACCACACCAATTTATCACCATCAAGCGCATAGCGAGCTACCTATCTAGCCTAGCCTAGCCTAGCCTAGCCAGCCAGCCCTCCTGACTTAAAGCCTACCTACTTACCTATATAGGTACACCACCCCAGAACCTCCCTCCCACCAGACAAAGCACAGCAACGTCCTCACTCACTCAATAGAAGATAAAGAGAATTACACATAAAGCCTTCTCCATCCATCTACCTACCTATCCAATCGAGAGAAACAACCACGCTCGACATATCAAAAACATTTATGTTGTTTACATATAGATCGAATAATCAACGAACGACCGAACGACCGAACGAACGAACGATGGAGAGTAAAAGTGTGAATAGGAATAAGAAGGGGATAGAGATATACAAGTCTGTGTCTAGCCTTGTAGCGATCGGGCGTGTGATGGGATGAGAAAGGAATAAAATGGAATGGAGGTGATAGAATGGAGTAGAGTAGAGTTGACAGAGTTGATAGGATAGAATGGATGGGATCAATAATATCGGTATCGCCAGTACCGAGAAGAAATCCGCATGTTAAGTGGTACCAATTGAATTCGTGAACTCGGAAGAGGCTCAGCTATTCTAGCTGGGGGGGAGCTATATGCTGGTACCAAGACCTGCTACCTAGTATAGCCACGTGACCTGGTGCCTACATTCCCACAAATAAGATGGGAGGGGAAGGAATAGAAGAAGATAAAATAGGCTTTCGTACCTCTGATTAAGAAGAAATACTCGGTTATCCATTTAATTTACAAATATTTATACAAACTCGCTTATCTAGCTTTTACGCTCACCACCACCAGCACCAGCCCCGCTCATCGGCGGCACCTCCATGCTACTCTCGTCCTTCACCATCGGCACGCCCTCGTCCTGCACTATGCCGCCCTCGCCCGCCTCCTTCTGCTTTCGGACCCGCATGCCCTGTCCCTCCAACCGCATGTGATCGGTCCCGATGCCACCCGCATCCACCATGCCGCTGGTCTCGGCATCGAAGGCAAAGCGGGCGCTCTGCCGCGGGGGCACGTGCAGCAGGTACATGGCATCGACCTCCTCGAGTGTGCGGCCAGCCGACTCGATGAGGAAGAAGTAGACGAGGACGAAGGCGGCGAGATTGCAGGCGGCAAAGACGTAGCCGTAGGCGAAGCCAATGTCGCCCGTGATGAAGGGTGTGAAGAAGGCCAGCATGAAGTTCCAGAACCAGTTGGCCGACGTGGCGAAGGCCATGCCGACGGCGCGGTATCGGTAGGGGAACATCTCGCCGATGCACGCCCACACCAGCGGGCCCCAGGTCATGGCGAAGGAGACGATGAAGAGGCACGCGAAAACAATCATGACTGTGCCGGACGTCTTGGCCGTCGTCGAGCCCGCCGCGGAATCCTTGAAGAGGAACTGCCCCACCGAGGCAAAGATGAGAAAGCACATAGTCTGCCAGAGGGCAGCTAGGTACAGGGATTCGCGCCGGCGACCGCGGCGCGCGAGATAGACGCCGACGAAGGTCGCGCCGACATTGACACCACCGAGGATCATGGCGGTCACATAGGAATTCTCCAGGCCGACGCCGCTGAAGACGGTGGTGCCGTAGTAGAAGAAGTAGTTGGCACCCGTGAGCTGTTGCAGCATCTGCAGGGCCATAGCCAGCGCGACCCGGTAGAGCATCCGAGGCCCGGTAAGGGCTTCATACCAAGGGTGATCCCCGGCGGTGGCCTGCATCACCTTCTCGATCTCGGCCGTCTCGCTCTCGATCAGGGGGTGGTGCTCGCTGAGGCCGTAGAACTGGGACATGGTGGTCCGGGCGCGGTCCGCACGCCCGTGATTCCAATCGTGTCGGGGCGATTCGGGGAGGAAGACGATGCCGATGCCCAGCATCAGGGCCCAGATGTAGCCGATGCCCATGGGGATGCGGTAGGAGCCCGTGTCGGCGCGGCTCTCGGTGCCGTAGTTGATGCAGTCGGCGGTGAAGATGCCGATGGTGATGAAGAGCTGGTAGCAGGAGACGACGGCGCCGCGAACCGGCACCGGACTCGTCTCGGACATGTACAACGGGACGAGCACGGAGAGCCCGCCCACGCCGAGCCCTGCGGTCCATCTTCCCATAACAATACCTATCCAGTCTCCCGTGCCGACGGCCATCTGCACGACGACCCCGATACAGAAGATCACGCACCAAACGGGGATACACCACTTGCGCCCGTACTTATTAGCGAAGGGGCCGGCGATGAGGCAGCCGATTAATGTACCGATGGATAGCTGCGATGGCATGAGCACTTGTTTACCTGGCGAGTAAAGCGAGGGGGCAAAAAGGAAGAAGAGACATACCAAACCCACAATCAAGCCACTCCTTACATTCGTAAAGTAGTAGCCGGTAGGATACTTGTCCAGGTTGGTGGTGCTCTGCCCAAAGCGCTCCAAGAACACGGGCATCTCTAGAAAACCCGAGATCTGCCCCGTGTCGTAGCCGAAGATAAAGCCACCCATGGCGACCAGACAGGTCATGACCACGGTACGGATCGTGACATGGGGAATCGTGCTCGTCGCGTCTGGATCAGGATGTGCCACGCCGGTCTTGACGGCCGTTGCGGTATCGCTGGACGGATGCGATGGGAAGGGGTTCCTCATCTCGCGGCTGGGCTGGGCTGGGCTGGGCTGGCGTGGCGGTATTGGTATCGGTCTGTTGAGCGGAGAGTGATGGGGTAAAGATGTGTGACTGTCGATGAAGCGGAGTAAGCGAGTATCTATCTATACGTTGTATAGAGAGAGGTGCGTATGTATGTATACAGTAAACCCGCCACTTAGGAAGAATCCAAACAGGCGACCAGCATTTTGTTTATTCTTTTCAGTCAGAATGAAAAGTTTCGTAACCAAAGACACACAAAACACTAGGCCGCATCTAGCGACGTCCTCATCTAGCGACGTCCTCCATCACCTTTTGCCTTGCTTTGTCCTCTTTCTGCCGAGGTAAGCGAGCGACGGGCGGTGAGTGACCGCGAATATGACGTTCTGTCTGACCGTCCGTACGTCATGAGCTCGGTCGGTCGGTCGGGACTCGAGGTACGGTAGGTACGCATCCGGGGGAGGGGGTTGGAACTGCGTATCTGAGCCGCAAAATGCAAACGACTCATGCAGACCCAGAATTCCCGAAGCCAGAGCGAATCAACAACTTATCCGGGGCAATCTGAATGGACTTCGGGCCGATGTGTGGTCGATGACGTTGTTGCGGAGCCCGTAATTCGATGAGATGAGATGAGATGAGCTGAGATGAGAGGGCATCGTGGAGTCCGGGTAGGTACCTCGTCCGTAGCTACGTAGAGGAGTTGCAGGAGGAGTCGGGATATGGAATCGGCTTTGGGGAGATATTTCTGTATGGATGCTATCAGTATCATAGGTACCGAATGAGAAGTACGAACATATAAGGGTACCAATTGTATTCGTGAAGTCTGACGAAAGGAGATGGGGAGGTGAATAGACGGGGAGGTGAAGAGATGGGAGATGGAGATGGGAGATGGGGAGATCAAAAGGATCACGAGATGGTATTCTGTCTGCGATAGGGTAGTTGGAACGTGCTTCCGATTGCGAGAGAAAACTATAGATCCGAGTTAGCGATTAAAGGTTGAAGGTCCAAAGTCTAGATGTATATATCTATCTATTTATCTATACTCAAGAGACAATAAGATGAAGAGATAGAAGATAGAGAGATCAAAGGGATCACGATATGGTATTCGTTCTTGCATAAAACAGTTAGAATATGCTTCCGATTGAAAGAAGCAAATGGGCTTGGATATATCGAGGACACCTTTAGATATATCGTCTTGTGTTGAAGGCGAGGATAAGGAACAGCCTCATCCATTGTACACTAGAGCTCATCCATAGTTCGCGTAGATTTTCAAATCTGAACTTTAACCTTTTATTCGATCCACTCCGACCTACCTTAAAGGCAGGTAGGGGGTCATTTGAGCGGTCCTCTGACCCTCTTTTATAAAAGACGATTATTAAACTATTTAAAATCAGTATTAATTATTAATCAGGAATAATTCACCTTTTTGATCATCCCCGAGCTTGGGACCGTCTTATGGCCGTCCCATAGCCGTCCCCGTCCATATTTTTAAAGCAAGCTTATTAATAAGCTCGTTTTAGAAAATTGAAATAATTCGATACTTATTTTAAAGAAAGTATGATTGTAAATAAAATTTATCTCCTAAATAGAATCGTTTTAATAATAATTTAATAAGTTCGATGCTAAGATTTTTCTCGGTATCGCTGTTGCGGCTTATATATTAACGCTTTAAATTTTTTATAATCGAAATCGATCGATTCAGCAAAAGTTCTCCCGCACGATGGACGCGCTCTGATTGTCTGCTATAGAAAGTGGTGTAATAACACGGTGGTATACCTAATAAGGTAGGGTAGACTGCTAAGTAATCGAAAGCTAAAAGAGATTATTTGCTTACTAATCAACGTTCCCCGGGACGGTTTCAAGTTCGGGGGGCCTTGGGACGGCCATAGAACGGCCATAGGACGGTCTTAAAACGGTCTTTTCGTAAAAAGACCGACTTTTATAAACGACTATTTAATCGATCAAAACAATCTTATTTTAATAATAATCTTTTAACGAAAAGACGAGCTCTTATAAAAAACGATTTAATCGATTGAAATAGTTTTATTTTAGCTACGATTTAAATAATTTAAATCGTTTGTTTTCAGATTCTATTCAATTTTAAGTATTGGCTTAGGGTGATCCACTAGCTATGCCAACCTCTTAGAATCGTCTTTTAAAGAGACCGTTATCGGATTATCAGCTGACGGTTTAAATAACCTCCTACCTGCCTTTAAGGTATTCCGACCTGTTATTACAAGTACATCTGTGCTTACCGGTACATGTTGTTGTTTTGTTAAAACACAATTACCTAGAAAGGAGATTGCAATATTATAAATAGTTGGCTAAGCGTAAATTTGATTTTATAGGTAAGGTAATCTTCGATATACGAATCCTTTCCCCCTTCTTGTATAAAGGGCAGCATCCTAAGGGTAGCACGGATAGACTTTTGTTGTGTTTTGGCTCGTGCCACCCTTGGGATCCTGCCAGAGAGACAAATATATTTATGAATATATTAGGTAGCCGCACCATTATTTATAGTCGACGTAGAAATTTGAACTACGGGAACTATTATTAATAAAATGAATATGGTCAAATAAATGACAAAAAAGATATATAGATACCTTTTTGCACCTACCCCAAATCAAATCCATCACTTCCCTTACGATCACCTTTCTTAAGATCTTCCTCCTCTGTAAGCTTATTTCCTTCGTCACCTCGCACTGTCGAAAGACTTATAAACCTTTCGGTATCGCCAAAAATATGCATTTGTCGCAATCTATCGGCTCAATCTTGCTAGCCTCGAGCTTTCTTTTGAGTGGAGCTCTAGGAGAAGGGGAAGAGAGAGAGATCATCGGCTATCGAATAGCTCACGAAGTAAGTAAGTTTCACTTGACTTATATAACATGAGCTTGTATTAATTACGCGACTTATAGGACGAAGCCGCGTATATCAATGAACACAATAGGCCTTATAGAGATGAAATATACGATGACTATACAAACCGTAATCAACTAGGACATGGCATTTATATGAGTAAGTTGATTTATATCTATAGATCGTTACGCACTATTTACGCGGAGTTAATATAATCTAAATAGCAAATGAACCTGCGAGCTGGCCGGCCTATGATGACGAGTGGAATTGTGTTATCAAAGCGGATAGTCAAAAGATGAAAGAGGTCAGCAAAGTATGGATTCCGGAATATCGTCGAGAAATCAAGAACGGTCTTGCGGTATGGCCAATTCGATTATGGTTCGCAGAAGAAGAAGACATTCTGGAATATATCGAGTCACTAGTGCCAGAAAAACCGGAGCAGGCATTACGCTTTTCATATATTTCCGGGCTCCCTGAGGAGCTGCAAATGCTTATTCCAACTGAAACAATAAACAAAAATGAGTTGGATTTCTGGGCTCAATGCTGGAAAACACTGGATGAGCAACTAGAATTTTCGAGCAAAACCATTGAGTGGACGACGGATTGGGATATTGTTGGAAATTCTGGACCGGCCGTTGAAGAGAATACTAGTTTGAGCCAAATACTTGAGGAGATGACTTTAGGGCAGGAAGAGTGATTACTGACGGTGATTACTGATGAAAAGGTGGAGGCGAGCCGGTATCGGTGGTGGTTGAAGTGGTGGCGTTCGAGCGTGGCGTTCTTTTGGGTATTTGGTTTCTTTTCAGCTTTTCTAAAGCCTCGGGTATCTATCGGCCTTTGTTTTTGATTATCAAGTAAGTTGACGTAGATGGCAAGCAGCTTACGTAATTCCAAAGCGAGCTTGGAAGTGCACCTACTAACGTATACTTATGTATGTAACTGAATGTAGTTTATAGAATTTAATCACATGAAATCTAATCACGTTTTATGCTATTTTGGGATTCTGCCGCCCGTCACCACGCGCACTTTTTGACTGACCAATCAATTCCATTCGCTAAAAAAGGCTATTTGCATTTTTTCATGAGGCCACATTCCCCCTTATAGGGGAAGGAGCTCTCCGGTAATACAAAGCTTCGCAAGCTCGCTTTGACTAGGATTTCGTAAGCGAACTGCCATTGGTGGAACATATATTCATAGACACAGATCACATCGCAGTGCCTTGGTCGCTGGAACAACCCGGTCCGAGAGCTTCGGAACCTACCTAACAACCTACCAACCATCCTTTCGAATTCTTCGGCTTTTCAGCTTACTGTCCATCCACTGCTGAGTCGGTCTGCGCAGCTCGGCAAATCATTATGATTATCAATATGATTGCTCTTCTTACTGGCTGGAGAAATGGGAATGTTGAGGCAGAGAGATGCGACGGTTACTGTACCCAGTCCCAGTGCCAGTCCTGGTGCTGATGCTGATGCTGATGCCAGAGTCGAAGATCCTCTTCCTGCTGCGAACATCCCTATCCCGACCTGGTCGACGGCCGACCAAGAGCCAGGAATGCCATGTACAGCTGCTGCGAGCATCACGCAGAAGTCGAGACGGGCCCTATCTATCTGCAGATCCCAGTCCACGATAACCATCACACCACTGAGACAGGTGCGATACTGACGGCAGGCGTCGTCGCAACGAGAAAGCCATTACATGACGCCGCCAGTCTGGTTCTCCCATTGACGGCATAAACAAACTCCCCGAGATATTGGGCTGCGGTGTTGCCATGTGAGAGGGCTGTTGGACTAGTCGTCTTCCCTCAGCTGCGATATCCTCCTCAAGAACCGACACGCAACCTTCAATCACGATCGAAGGTCGAAAGTATCGAGAGAGCTTCCCAGTAGGTGTTATATACGGACACGATGGCGACAAAGAAGCCCCAATTGGAGCCAATGCCCGCAAGCCTGCTGAGCACGAATAGGGTCATCAACGAGACGAAAGCGAGTACTGGGGACAACCGCATCGTTGTCATCATATACGGACAAGAACAAGAGAAGATCGTGGCTGTCTTTGCCGACGTCCTAGGAAAACCATACCGGCTGGCTCCAAATTTCTCTGCGGTGGGGCAGGAGGACCACGGGACCGTGATAGGGATCGCCACTATTGATGCGAAAGGGGATGTTGGGGCTAGGAATAGGACTCTTATGGTGGCCATTAACGCGCATTGCGTCAACCTGGGAATGCCTCCAGACGTCGACCTCTCAGCGGCCTCGGACTATGAGTTCTTGTACACAGAGTCGCCATTTTTCCGGAAGGACCTTTCGCGCTTCATTGCATTTACTCTCGGACAGATCAGTCATCACGAAGCGCTGATTACAAAACCAAGGACCTATTTCATCTCCACTACTTTTCCCGATGTCCGGACAGCGCTTTCAAATCTGGATATTCTTTCGGTGGGGTCAGATGCTGTCGAGATACGTGTAGATCTCTTGAAGGAACCTTTACCGGATGGAACTTACGGCTCAGTACCGAGCATGAGTTATGTGGGAGAGCAAGTCATGCTTCTCAGGCAACGGACTGAGCTACCCATCATCTTCACCACACGTTGTACACGTGAGAATGGTCGATTCCCCATGGACAACCCGGAGCTGTACTACCAGTACCTTTACCGAGCTATACAGTGGGGCTGCGAATACATCGACGTCGAGGTATGGTTACCGGAAGACATTAGACGCCGACTATTCGAGCAGAGAGGCAACAGTCGGATCATCTCTGCCTTTCACGATTTTTCGGGGACCTTCAAATGGCCGTCCGCCGAAGCCCAATCCATCTTTCAGGAGTCAAGGAAGTACGGCGATGTTGTCAAGATGATCACTATCATCAACTCGATGTCCGAGAACTATGAGCTCGAATACTTCCGCTCTCAGATCAAGGCAAACAATCCCGATGGTCCACCGCTATCCGCCGTCAACATGGGGCGACTCGGCCAACTCTCTCGAGCGCTCAATACGGTCTTCAGTCCCATCACCCACCCTCTGCTACCCATCGTAGCAGCACCCGGCCAGATGAGCGCAGCAGAGATCAATGGCGCACTAAGTACCATGGGCCAGCTCCCCAAGAAAAACATCTATGCCATCGGCACCTTCCGCTCGACGCCCCAAGCGACCTTCTTTGAAAAATGCTTTAACGAGCTCGGTCTCCCTCACAATTTCCAGTCTGTCGATCGCGGCGCCCGAGGCTCAGTCGAAGCTTATTGCCTCCAACCCAACTTCGGCGGCGCTTACATCAACCCAGCGCTCAATGCCTCACAGCCATACATTCCGCATCTCACAGACGCCGCTCGAACTATCGGTGTTGTCGACACCATCGTCGTTCGAGGCGAAGGCGCATCCTCGCTTTTCGTCGGCGATAATGCTACCTGGAAAGGCATCCGCGCGACCCTGACCCGTGACTTTGCGCCATCGGCGTACAAGGACCGCGCTGCTATCATACTCAGCAGTAATGGTGATGACGCCGCGAGCATCATATTCGCCCTCCGCAGCCTCAACATCGGCAAAATCTACACCGTCGGCTTTAAAGCCCACGCACCGCTCGCGGCTGGCATCGAACCGTTCACGTCCATCGAGTCGGTACAGCGCGTCGACCAGCCATTCGCCATCATCTCGGCCTTGCCGCCGGAAAAATCGCATCTGGTCCAGCCCCTCCTCCGGCACTTCGGCAAGCCGTCTCGGAGCGGAGCTTCGACCCCGAACAGCGGCCGCAGTAGCAGCAGCAGTGCCCTAAGCGGCAGAGATGGCGGGAAGGGCAAGGTGTTTGTGGATCTGGCGCACGGGCTGCGGAAGAGTGACCCTCTGGCCGTGGCGGAACGGAGCGGCTGGACGGCGTACGGGGTCATGGACACGAGCGCTTTCACGACGGTCGAGACGTTGCGGCTGCTGGTCGGGCAGAACGTGCCGTATAGCTTTGTTCGGCTGGCGAGTGGGAGGGGCTTGTACTGAAGTTGGATGGGGCGGGGGGGTTTGGTCAGGGTAAAGTGGCGTTGGCTTTGTCTTTGGTTTAGGGGTAGGTAGGTATACAGGTAGCTTGGTCGGTAGGTATTAGGTGAGCGAGCGAGCGAGGGATAATCTAGAGTGGGTTTACCGTTTTATCGACTCTCTCTTTTTTTTCTTTTTTTTTTTTTCAAAGCCTAAGCTCAGTCAGTAGGCATGCGGTGGAATGGGAATTAAGCAGGTATACGTAGTATAGAGAATAGGTATTTAGTAATTTAATGAATTGATAACGAAACATTATACCTTTAGCGCTGCGACTATAACTAAGGTATATACCGGTATATAGATTTGCAGATGGAGGGATGTATGTCTGGGTGTTTTAGGATTTGGTTTTTGGCTCTAGCTCTAGCTCTAGCTCTAGCTCTAGCTCTAGCTCTTCCATCTTCATTCACAAAACGAAAGAATCATGATCCCAAAAACATATCATGAAGAAGAAAGAAAGGTCGATAAGATAAAGAATAAAGATATTATTATATAAATAGATAGATACTGACAGATAGAACTAATTGGATGAATTAATTATTTGATACATCTTTTTTCATGTATGTATGTATGTATGTCCAAGATCCAATGATCAATATCCAAATGCGTACCGAGCGATAGAAAGCGGTCACTTTGCCGCTCGCTATATCTGTCTATCTGTTAGAATGGCTCCGTGTACAAAAAAGCAAGGGGAAAAAGACAGTGAAAAAGATAAAGAAAAATATTTATATGTATATGTGTGTGTAGCTAGCTAGGTAAATAGGTAGGTAGGGTGCAAAAGTAAAGTAAAGTATATATATAGCAAGCAGCTGAATGGACATGGACATGGACATGGGTATCATACACTCATCAACACACACACACACACACAGCGTACACAGCGTACACATTAGGGGGCCCATCAGTCACCACCAGTATGCCAGATTACCACCTCCTGCTCTGTGCTCTGTGCTCTGTGATCGCATCCCTCCCATCCATCATCTATCTGCACGATGCCATATCCGTATTCACAGCCGGCATAACTGCCCCCTCCCGTCGTGGCCCGCTCCCACTAGCGCACGCCCTCTTCTCTCACCGTGAGACTTTCCCTCTCCACTGCCTCGCGTCTCGGCCGAGGAGAGGAGAGGGTCTGGTTCAGGTGGGTACGTAGGTAGATAGGTAAGGGTAGGTCGAGATCATATCAGATCAGATCAGTAAAAATCATCGTCACTCGTGCCACCCCCACTCCCACTCCCGCTTCCCCCGAAATAACTCTGATCAATCTTGAAGATCCACTCCACCTTCTCCCGCTCGCTCCGCGCCTTGAAGAGCCAGGTGTTGTCCGTGCCATACACCGCAAACACGCGATCCTCATTCTCGTTCCCGTGCCCTCCTCTCCCTCTATTGCCATTCCCATTCCCGTTCCTATTCCCATTGCCCATACCCCCACCATCTCGTCTCAGAAGCCGTGCAATCTGCGGCTGGTGATCAACGCGGGAGTTGCGCAATGAGACGACGCAGACCTCCTCCCCATCAGGCACGGAGTGGATGTGCATGTAGGGGCGCCTGAGCTCGACAAAGCGGCGCACCCAGCGCGAGGAGTCGGCAGAGGGCGTGAGGAGGTATCCGCCTTTGAGGATGGTAGGGTTCTTGGGGATCTGGGTTATTGAGGCGGTGAGATGAGGGTTCGTCGGTGTTTCGGCTTGGGTGGGAGGTGCGCCACTAGAGGGGGGCTCGACATTATTGGGAGTTAGGATACTGGAGACGGGGTCATGGCAGAGTTTCCAGAGCTTGAGGAACTTTAAGAGAAGCGCCTTGTCGTGCTCGCTGACTTCTGGATCGGGGGCTTCTTCGCCGGCTGGTAGACTGTCGCCGTTGGTGGAGGCTGCAGTGGCTGGCGGTGATGGGAATGTGATACGGCTCAGGAGCGGCAGGGCTGCTTCTAGTTCTGCGAGCCGTTGCCTACGCCTCTTCGCTGCAATGAAATCCCGTATCAAACTCACACCTCTGGGTTTCCAGTCGGTCAAGCCCTCTTCGCCCTTGACATAATCGTTCTGGGTGTTCATACGCCACAGGTCGCCTGCTCGCTTGACCGGCGATGGGCGGACCCGAACCGAAAAGACTGCAGAGGTAGAGTGAACGATCCGTACCGTCTGCCATAAAGAAGCAAACATGGATGTTGACCGAACGTAAGATCTTGACAGTATTTGAGTCCACACATCGATAGAAAAAGTCATCAACTCAGAGAATTTGGGTGAGTTGATGTCCCATACCAGGGACATTTGGACCTTGTACTTGTCTGCTGTGACACGATCGAGCAGAAGCGACTCGTGCGCACTGGAGTCCCATTGTCCGATGAGCGTCACGTCACTCGTACCGTTGGCGTTCTGCTGGACCTTTGGTTTCGAAACGAGCTTCAGGGGTATCTCAGGTGTAGGTGAGCTGAGGTCTGGCGTCTTGCCAACATGGTCGACAAGCTGTATACGACCGACCCGAAGTCCAGACACATCGTCCCATGGAAGAGCCTCGCCAGAGCTGTGCGTGAGGTTAATAACAATCCGCCTTTGGAGACCTTGGTGGAGCTGAAACGATCCTTTGTCCAGCTCGCTAGTCTGAAGTACCTCGACCGGCAGATACTCGCCATTCTCCGCCATCTCATGTATCTGTATCCGGGCAAAGACATCATGCTTCTCTTCCGTGAAGAATTGAGATTCTGCTATCCGAGCATTCTTCCGCTTCTGCTTTGGCCGGACAACATTGTCACGCATGTCATCCCAGCTGAGCAGCTTGTCGAGATGCATCGACGATACATTGGCAAATATGGCGACGCGCAAGGATACATCAATTGGTCCGAACATTGGTACGCTCATGCTGTGGACACTTTCAAATCGGATCGGACCTTCGTCGAAATCCTTGATCATTTGGGTTGTTGTCACGCCGCCCTCGTTAGACGCACCAGGGAGAAATAGCTGAGCGTGCACTTCAGTGCCTTCTCGCTCGGCAAATCCAACAAGATCATGCATGACCACGTTAAATTTGAGGGTGCTCGAAGGTGCCCGCGCAGAGGAAGGCTCGAGTGATAACTTGAGCATGCCAATAGCGTGAGAAGTGTATGGTGACAAGACATCAAGGCTGAAGTCCTGTACCCGGCTCTCGAAAACAGCTGCCAGTGGCACATCAACATCACCAACATGAGTGTACTGAGGCATGCAAGTCTCCACGAAGGGATTCTCGAGCTTAAAGTGCTGGAGATACTCTGGCCGATCAATATACTGGTGCATCTGCCGCATCAGTCTCACCCGATCCTGCAGCTTCTCCAAGCTCCAGAGGCGGACAACACTTTTCTTATAGTCGATAACTCGAACACCAACGCAGGGTTTCGTCGCATCTTCGAGGCAGAGGTCATCACCTTCGCCTGAGATACCGTTTAAGACCATGTCATACGACGAGCATAAATCGTGTCCAACATCGACAATCGCGAATTGGAAGACAACGCTCTCATCCATCTCCTGGCTCATGATCTGAGCTTCCTTGAGGTTTGCCGCAGATTGCAAGACAGCTTCGGCCATCCTAACATACCTCCGGCTTCGCCAGTGCGCTATCACGCTCTCCGCAATAGCAATTTCTTGCTCGGTCAAGCCCGAGTAGGCCGCGGCTGATCTTGGCTTCGTTGAATTTATCGTTTGAAGGCGCTGCTCGAATTCTTTCCGTTGTGCTTCCAGCTGCCGAAGCATGTCTTCCTTGACCTCTCGCAGACTCTCCTCCATCCGAATCTTCTCTTTCTTGATCTCCTCCACCTCGACGTTGGCGGCCTCGGCAGACTTCAATTGGTCCTGATAATCTTCTTTCTGCCTATCCAATTGGACCTGCATCTCTTCGCGTACTTCACGCATCTTATCTTCTACCTCGCCCTGTTTTGGCGTTGATGGCATCGTCAATGCAGTGTCGAGCGAGAAGTTGTCCAGAGTACCGTTTGACATGTACTTCTCCCGAATAGGATACGAGGTGACGGAATCCAAATCATCATCCATATTTTGGACAGCACGCTCTGCCCGCACCTTCTGGACATCTTCAAAAAGAAGATTCAACTCCTCATCCGTAAGCCCTGCAACTTGCTTGTCCGGACCAAGGATAGCACTGGCCGCTTCTCTTCTAGCGAAAGACCAGTCCGAATCCCCGCCGCGTTGAAGTGGCAGTGGTGAGTCTGTGGGACTTCCATCCCATTCGACCTCTGATATGGCTTTGCTGGATGATCTGTCGTGGCCAGGCCGAGGGCTGGGAGATGGCGAAGCTTTTTCGAAATCGCCCATCTGATTTGCAATGATCGAGTGCCTCAAAGAGCTTTGCTCCGCCCGCTCAGCCCTCGCTTCCATGGGATGGTTGAATCTAAAGATGTGGAAGTCTCCAAGGATGACCCGATATCCACTGCGTAGCCGCTTCGCTTGCTCGATCCGCTTCCCGTTGACCATGACAGCGGCACCCTCCTTTGGTACGAGTGTGACTACGTTGTCAGCATTTTCAAACGTGCAGTGCTCGTCCAATATACGGGTGCCATTCAGTCGAATTTCCGAGACGTGCTCGCCCACCGTGTCCACGTTACCCACAGTGGTCGTACCCGGCTTGAGGTTGTACACGAGGCACTCCGCCAGTAACGGATCGTCAGACAAGTTGACCAAATGGGGCATTTTCTTCGGGGTGTGCAGCCCCACGAAGCCCTTCTCAATACTAATGCCGAGCTCTTCGAGCGCAGCTTCTCGCTCCTTGTGGATCTCTTCGGTCTTCTGTAGCTTCTGCTCCCAGGTCTGGTTGAGATCCGAATAGAGCTTCTCACTTTGATTCAGCTGTTCCGCAATCTCCGCTTTCGAGACTTTTTTCACAGAGCCGTCGGCCTGCACGATACTGACGATTTGCTTCTCGAGCGGTGTTCCCTCGGCGTACACCTCCTCTGCTGGCCCGCCGCCGCCACCTCCGCCACCACTTAGTTTGCCTCGGAGAGATTCAAGCTCCTCTTTCAGTTCCCGAATCATCCTCGCGTTAGCGTCCTCGTTCACCACGGCGTGATTCTTGATTCTCTTTGCACTGTCCGCATATCTGAGCGTACTCAGAGTCTCGTCGAAGTTGATGTCAGCCGGGCTGATAGCTGCAATCATAGCCGTCATACTGTTTCCTCCCAGCGAGTCCTTCAACAGCCATGTCAAGACACTGTCTCTGTACGGGACTTGCGTAGCAGCTTTCCCGCCCTTCTTTTTCTTGCCCTCGGACAAATCTGCCAATGCAGCAATAACTCGACCGAGTGTAGATAGGGATCTATTGATCTCCGCCCCTTCCTTCAGCCGAGCTCCTGTGGCACCAGTAGACTGCGCTCTCTCAGAACCCGCTAAATCCACCAGGCTGATCTTCGCAACCTTTTCCAGCGACATTTTCGTATCGACATCGTACCGCTTCTGAGTCAAGGTAAGAGTAAAAACAGCGTGACTCCGACTACTCGTCTCGTTCATATTCGTAGCCGCGACCGTTCTCGCTTTGTTTCCCTCGTCCATCAGATGCTCAATCTCGTTGAAGCTCCCCGCCACCAACTTCGCCAAGTCCTCCACATATGGTCCCGTAGACGGATGTTCTCTGACCTTAAGATTGCCCTTGGTAGACGGATTCAGCAGATCCCTAACTCGCTCATTGTAAATTTCTAAGTAGGACACCTCCACCGTATACTTGACATTGGAATCCTGCTGCTGCATAGTATCAATCCGCTCAAACATATCCTGGCAAATCTTCGGTACAACACCTGCTTCGGAGCCATATCCCATCATCGAGTACGACTTTCCAGATCCGGTCTGTCCGTAGGCGAAGATGCAGTTGTTGTATCCCTGGAAGGCATTGTCCAGCAGTGGCTTCCCTAGATCTGCGTGCAGATTATCCTGCCCGGCGTAGTTTGGATCGCTCTTGTCGAAGGACCAGTAGGATCTGTCGAACGCAAAGACTTTCCGCCCAATGTCTTTGGCACCCCCTTTGCCAGAGCGCATCTTTTCCTCGGCCTCTGGAGGGGGGATCAGGACCGTCTGCGCGCCCTCCATCTGGACGATACATTTTGCTCCGCGGTCGATTTCTGCAGTCCTTTATCAGTATCATGGCAGAGATCGAGGGCTGCCCCTCGAGCAGGTGGGATATACCTCTGCCATTGAACGGCCGGCATCGTACCACCACCTTGATGTTCCCTCCACCTTGCGGCGCCATCTTTGCTTATCGTTGGGTTCCGGCAGGGCTTCCACTATTACTCGTAGCAATTATGCCCCTTTTGGCGCTCGAGGCTCAGCGTTTTCAGCAGATTGTTGGCTATCCAAGACTCGACTCGACAGCTGTAGAAGGGATGCGGTTCGTGGTTGAATCATCGGAAATCCAGTAGCTGAATCAATTCAATTCAAGTCGAGTCATTCATTCTCTTCTTCTCCTTGTCTGAGGACCTGGGGGAATTGACTGTTTCCACCGCAGCGTGGCTTTTCGATCAGAATGCTGCACTCGATGGATGGTGATGCCGTAGCAGGTAACTACTTAGCAATACGGCAGATAGTGTTGCTATGTCTTATTCTCTGCGAGGGTCAAGGTCGTTGATTATTTGTTTGTTTTTGTTGATTTGTCGAGGGGAGTATCGCGTCTGTCCGCGTCAAGGGGGGGCCAATGTCAACAACATGTCAATACTCTGGATTCTCCCAAGCTTGAAATTACCAGACCCTTGCAAGTTGCCTGCCAACGTACTGCGCTAGGACCATGTGACAGCGGGGTGATTTTATCGGTTTAAGATTACGCTTATCACCGACTACCGAGGAAGAACCGGAGCCTATTTAGGAAGAAAGGGAAGATGGAAGCGTACATGATTACTAAATATAGTTGCATTCTAAACACCATTGATTTCAGTCATGTACGGAGTATAATGATTTTTTGCAAAGCGACGAATAGACGCCCAAGGCTTTGGCTTAGAGGGGGCCTAGAGACCCAGCCGCTGACATGTGTGTGTACAAGGCGATCAAGGCGATATCAAAGTCAACAAAGCACTAGCGTTTCATTTTCAAGCGTCTTGTGCCGGTTCTCCTCGCCTTGGTACTGTATCGAATAATCATCCTCTTCCAGGGACTCCACCTCGCAGGAATGGGTGCCATCCCCCGGTAGTCTTCAACAGCGTCTGCCCTCCTCTCCATCTCGGCTAATAATAAGCGACTTGACGCCATTTATCACAACATCACTTCTCCATGGCAAGCTTCCCACGTCTTTCGTTATGATCGACTTTTGATCATCGAATAGATATAATCTGAAGACAGACGCATCAATCTAGCCAACCTATCCGGCTTTTCTTCTCTTTCTCCCTCGACATTTCAATATCTCCTCAGCATTTGCAACTGCGATCCTATTTACTCCTCGGTTTAAGGGACTCTGCAAGTCAGCATCTCCCCTACCCATAGTCTCGGATCATCTGCAGCTATACAAACTCCGTGTCGCAGGACGATGAGGTCGTATTTACTAGGGTTGGGATGGATTTGTGCTATAATACGGTCGTAGAATACCACACGGAAAGAGATAAAGTCTATATTTAGAACGGATGCGGAAGCGATTACTGTAAGAAACGCCCTGGACGGCTATAGCCAATTAATTTCGCATTCTCTGTTTGCAATTTCAACAAGAAGGACGGCGATTTAGAGAAGGGGGGTCATGGTAACACGGTATACTATCAATACCAGCAGTAATTAATATCAGAAGATCATATACACATTCATCAAAAAGTCTTTAAATACTCACAAAATCAAACGCAGCACATAGTGGATCGCCATCATCAAAACAATAGATAAGCATCTCAATAATTTTCTACGCCCTCGTATTCAAAAAGCCACATCCACACCCACAATACCATACGCTCGTCTACTCTTCCGTCCTAATCTCATCGCTCATCCAATTCAGCAAATCCAGCTCCAATAGCAGCATACTTTCCAAGAAATCAAAATTAACAAGACCCCAACACTCCTCCTAACCCACCAATACACAACATCAAAATAAGCTCCCTCCACCCACCCCCTCCCAAGAACCATACATCCACTATAAAATAAAAAATAAAAAAAATAAACCCCTCAATTTGGCCCCTGAAAAAGATCCACTTACCTGCAATAGCAATAACACGTTTACAATAAACCCCGAGCAATGACTCACTCACTCAATCACTCAACTCTCTCCTCGCCAGACTACCTAGCGCTCATATCGCATCTTAGTCCCCCTTCCGTCATCAGATAGGCATGTAAAGCGCATGTACCAATTGTATTACTTGTACCAATTAGTTCAGAAAATCTAGTCTATTGTTTATATATCGCCATCTCTCTCTCTCTCTCTCTCTCTCTCTCTCTCTCTCTTTGAGCTCATGTCGCGTAAAGCAGATTAGTAATAGGATAGGAGGGATTGAAGGGGCAAGGCAAGGCAAGGCAAGGCAAGGCAAAGCAAGGCAAGGCAAAGCAAGGCAAGGCAAGGCAAAGCAAGGCAAGGCAAGGCAAAGCAAGGCAAAGCAAGCCAATGCAAGGTTGGGAAAGCGGGGGAATAGGCAGAATGGTAGAATGGGAGAGTTTGAAATGGGAGAGTTTGAAACGGGAGGTTTGAAACGGGAGGTTTAAAACGGGGGTTGGGAGGGGGGGAGGAGATGAAAGCTATACCCACACCACACCACATATAATATATACCACGGTACAGGCCTAAGTATTACCCCTCGAGGGTGCCTTAAAAGTTTAGTTTCCACTTTAAACCCCCTGTTTTCCCTACCCTCGAGGGGTAATACTTACGCCTGCGACGTAGTATTACAAAGCATATACATACAAACATATTATGTATTCCCTGGAAAACAAAGCCGTGATATCGTAAGGTCCCCAACGACCACTTTCAATATCCAAGGTTTCAGGAATTCTCTTCACTGGATCCATAGCCGTGGAGGGCCTTACGAGCTTTACTTGGCGGTATATTCAAAGCTCGGTATGCTCCTCACTCTCCACCTCCTCTTCCTTCTCCTCGCTCTTGGACCCGCTCTCACTCTTCGCCTCCTCTTTACTCTTCGTCTCTCCGTCGCTCTCCCCGTCGCTCTCCTCTTCCAAATCACCGTCCGGACCCCAAGGCTTCCTCTTCCCCTTCAGAATCTCCGTCACGAACTTATCCACGGCCGCCGGCCGGATCGTCTCGCCCTGGACCTCAAATGGGAACACCTGCTGCTGCACCGGGTCCAGTACTGCCATGGCGGGCTCCACCCCGGGCTGCAGGCCCAGCGTCAGAGCCATGTACCCGTACTCTGCCGTGTCAACCGTCACGAAGCTGAAGTCCGCACTGTAGGCCTTGGCGAGCTGCGTGATGGACTTGACATACGCGGCACGCGTCTCGTCCGAGGAGGTGAAGAAGTAGAGGATGGGTTTTCGGGCCTGAATGTTTTTCGCTTGCGCGTCAGCTCTCGATCTATCTTGTCTTTTCTTCTTTTTGTTTATCTATCACACGGATGGATTCTGTGCGGCACGGGGAAAGGGGACTTTGGGTCAAGTCATGTTATGTATGTATACCTTGAGATAGTGCATTGTGTTCCGCGTCGAGAACGGCCCGACCAAGGGCCTCGTCACTCTCTTTATCCAGCTGTCCAGGTGGTCGATGCCGTCCTCCTCGTGGTCTGGGTATTGTTCTCTGGCGCCTTCTTGCGTCTTGTAGCACACGATGCTCGTGTACCACACGTCCTCGCTCTTGACGTGGTTCGTGTCGGTCGTGACGGCGAAGGTGAGTCGGTCGGAGTAGCGGTCGGCGAGGGCTAGGAAGCTTTTGGTGAGGCTATCAGGATTGGTGAGGGAGGGGGTGTAGGCTATCAGCACGTCGGTGTCGACGCGTTTAAAGGCCGTCAGCTCATCATTCAGGCGCCCGGTTAGGTCTGTGACAGTCGGGCGAGCGACGCGGGCCAGAAAGGACGTGATACTTTAGATCGTTGATGTCAGATTTCTGATGGTATCGAGGGTGGCACAGGACGGAACGTACGAGGAAGCTTTTCGCGGCCCTCTGTAGCGCTTCACTTCTTCGCTCTTGGAGCGGTAGAGCCGTATGGCGGGATATGAGATGACTCCTTGCTCTGCGCAGAGGGTGGTCTCGCTTGTGCAGTCAATGCTCACTAGGGGGGTTGAGCTTTGGGATGTAACTGATAGCCATTCTGGCTCCAGGGCTTTGCTTGATGGGCTGCACTTGCTGTCAGCAGGTGTTTAATATGGTCTGGCTCGGGAGTTACGATAGATAGATACGTACGTCTCAGGCTGCGTGAAATATCAGAGTCAATGTACTAGTAGCCATGTTGGATATAGGATGAGCGTACCGCAACGACTAGATATGGCTCAGTTACTTACTGGTGTAGCATCTGAGAGAAAGGGCGAGAGATGGGAGAGGGGAGAAGGGAGAGATATTAACTTACACGCAACCAAAGACAAATCATTCTCTGTTGTAATCGACTTGAACTCGTCTCTTCCTACATGCTTCCATCCCAATGCACCTCGGACAGCTAAAAGCTCCAAGATGCATATGAGAAACGATCTGGGCAACATGGCTTTCTCAACGCACCCTGATTGATAAAATTTTTTGAAGTTGGCCGGAGTTGTATTGCTAAGCGAAGCAGAATATATATTCAACCCGCGAGAGGGATGGAGGTGATCACTGATGACAGTTGTCGTCCATCGTTCATGGCATGGCGTCCGTAAGTAAGATAAGCGAGCCGAGCCCAAGATCCCCACCAGCCCGGATCACGAAACGGTCTCTGCATCTTGGAAGTCTTGTTGCTCCAACGGTCAAACCTCGGTGCTCTGAGACAGGTTCAACAATCAACAAAGCTCCAATGCAAAGATGCGGTATCATACCTATCTCATTAGCATGTACGGCGCTCCTGCTCGCGCGAGCGCGGGCTATCCAGGCGGATCAGATAGCTCCTAGGTCTGAGGATGCGTGCACACACCCTCCTTACAAGATTCACATTTTCTCCCAAGCTCCTCTGCTCATCTAATCTACATCTCCGGATTCCTGAGTCTGGTAGAGCGGGAGCATGTATAAGAAGTATAAGAAGTAAGGTACGCTGCGCGCTCCTCGCATATGGGCCATGGCCCATGGGCCATGGGCACCACGGCGTTCCCAAGCTGACGGCAAACGTAGCAAACATAACTTCACCAGGTCCACCGTGACGGATGGATCGGGAGTTCAAGGCCCGAGCCAAACTCGGACCTCCCAATCCACAACCGTCACCCGTGACTCCGTTATCAGGTGTATGGAATCCCGCGCTGCCTCTTTCCAAGGCCTGCATATCTCGCGCTCCCATCTGGAACCCCTTCAGCTCGTCCAGTACGGCAGCGGCGAGAACTATCGTGTCCATACGGACTGTAAGACGATGGCCTCGGCGTTCTCATCCCGAGTCGCCAAATTCTTTCCGATTCCAAGCAGATAATTCTCGACTTCCTACAATCCAGGGCTTTCAGCTCCTTGTCAAATCACTTCCGATGTTGGAGGGAATCGACTCTCTTCCTTCTTCGCATATGTAGCAGCAAGCGACCTCACCGGAGGTGGCACCAACTTCCCCATGCTGGACACGCCCTACAGTGAGCGTTGGTGTGCGTTCATCGACTGCGACGAGCCGTGGGACAATGGCGTTACCTTTAAACCGGTGCCGGGAAACGCGATATTCTAGCAGAATCTGAACGAAAATAGGAGTGGCAATTCAGCTATGTTGCATTCTGGGCTGCCGGTGACAAGTGGCTCGAAGCTGGGGATGAACATTTGGACACGGGAAGGTCCGTTAGATAAGAAGCTTAGAGGTGCTGATGATTTTGATACCTAGCCGGTTGAGGGGAAAGAATGGTATATTTGTTTTGAAGAAGATGTGAGTACAATCTGTTCATTTTTTATTCCCATCCGGCAAGGTCATCTTGATGAGCCCTTCTTCCTCCCCCAACCAACTACTAACAGGTCGATCCTAATTCCCGATATATCATATCGTGCATGCATGCACCTCTGCATGCGGCTGGCCTGGTCACACATAATACCATACGTTCTTACATGCATAGTTACACAATCCGTAAGGTCAGCAAGCCACCATCACCAAGATCCAAAATAGCCCATCGGATCACAACACACCACATTCTTCGGACTCATCGTCACACCGCCGTCTCCACAGACAGGACTTCCAACCATAACCACTTCCCAACAGCCACGCAATCCTCCAACTATAGTCTCCTATCAGGTTCAGGCTCCGGGACGTAAAAGTACCGTGGATCCGCAGCCGCAAACCCAGCCAGGTCTCCGCTTGCTGAGAGCCAGTGTTCCGGGGTCGTGGCCGGGAAATACCCAGATGGCTGCACTGTGCTGCTGCTGCTGCTGCTGGCTGTGGTGGTCCAGTCTGGAGTTGGCGTGTCGCTGCTGATGGTATAGGGATCTGGACCAAGATATGAGCCTGGGTTTGTGGGTGCGGTTGTGATTGTAGGTGTCAGTGTGTACAGGGTGAGAATTTCGGCTGGTGAGTAATGGGAATATTCGACTACGGTATAGTAGGACTGCGAGAGGTAGCTTGAAGAGGGTGTTGAAGTTGATGTTGGCGATGATATGGATATTGATGATGATGATGATGATGATGATAGTGCTGCGAAGTCGGGCTGGGGCATAGGAATGTCTGCTGGACATGCGAGACTGTTATCCTGCTGTCTAACACTGGCATCATTGGCATCTCGCGTATCAACCGCTGGGTTGCTGGCTGGAGGCGGGCTGTTGGTTGTGCATCAGTCCGCGTTCTGAACATCCAAATATAAAGGGAGATAGGGAGGTAGGTAAGTATGTGTATATATATACATATATGGTAAATACTTACCTCAAACTCTGGTACGTGCACACCACAGGCGGATATCGTCTCGCACAGTTGTTGCATTGCCGATCTTTCGCCTGGTTACACTTTCATCTGGTCAACTCAATCATAATCACAATCCCGCTATCCATCCACCCATCCATCGATCGATGATGCCCCCCTCAAACGCAGATTCCGGGGGATTCTGGGTCTAAGTCTGGATCTGGGTCTGGGTCTAAAAAAACATACCCGTTGCTTCCTCCTCCTGCACTCCGTACACGACGTAATAGTCCTCGGACTCGTCCTCGTCCTCGACCTCGGTCGCAGCAGAAAGGCAGAGCTCGACGAAGCATGCATCTGGGCGATCGAGCCGCGCACACACAGATCAACACAAGAGAAAAGGGGGGGGGGGGGGGAGAGTGGAGGTTGAATCCTCCGTGAGAAAAGAAAATATATAGTCGGAGGGAAATACGTCTCCTATTATTCTTCTCTTTGCTCTTCTCTTCTCTCCTTATCTGGCGATTGTTTTTCTTACTTCTCTTTTTCTTTTTTTCTTTTTTCTATTGGAGCTGGTCCCTGACGCTGATGGGCTTAAGAGGAGATTGGGATAAGCAGAAGTGAGACAAAGATCCCAAAGCTGAAGGGAAGGGGTTCGGGGACGGTGGAAGCTGAATGGAGGAGCTGTCTGTCTTTCTGTCTGATACCGATACGAAAAGTTGGGGCGTGGGAATTCTCCGTGGGGACGGAGTGACTGGATTGGTAGGTGAGTGGGTAGGTGATGAGAGTGTATTTTTGGTCTCTTTGGAAATGTAGTGTTGCAGCAGGAATCGAGCAGAGCAGAGGGAGGAAGGGCGGGCTTGCACCTCCACTACCGGTAGACCTGAGTCTGGGGTTGGGTTTGATAGCAATAGCAAAGAAAGCCATCGATCTCTCCCTCCACCGTATCGGTTTACCGTTTACTTACTTACTTACTTACTTCTTTCTTTCTGGAGATGAACATCTTGGTTCGTGAGACTGTCGCGCTGCGCGGTTTGTGTCTCTTTTCCTGTGATATATATCACTTTTTGGTGGTAGGGACGTCCTAAGTCAAGTCGGTCGCCTGAACTCGAAGTCGGATTCGGAACGCGAGATTCGTCTTGTTTGAGCTTGATGTTCGGGTGTCGCGTGGTTTCTGGTTTCTCTATTCGGATGAATAAGGAAGATGGCTGGCTGGCTGGCAATGAGATGAGATGAGTATGGGTGTATGTGTATGTGTGGCGGGACCCAAAGTGTGATGGACGTTATTTGAAAAGGGGGGCGAAGCGATTAAGCGAAGTAAGTCAATAAGTCAATAAGTCAATAAGTCAATAAGTCAATAAGTCAATAAGTCAATAAGTCAATAAGTCAATACAACAGCGCTAGAAATTGACTTGATACCATTTGAGAGAGTGAGATCCTTACGATTGAGGATTTCTCCTATTCTCATTTCATACTACTTATAGCCGATTGAGATTTTGTTTACGATCGTTGAGGGGTTTTAGTTCTAGTTTTACGAATCTTTGATTGAGAAAGGATCGGGGACTTTGAGGTACGCTGGAGGGCGGATGTATGAAATGAGATATGGAGATGGGTATAGAGATGTGTGTACTAAGAGAATAAGGCATGTTACTTTCTCATGGTGATACCTCGATATCTTTTTCTTCTTCTTCTTCTTCTTCTTCTTCTTCTTCTTCTTCTTCTTCTTGGGAGCCTGCAGGGGCCTGCAGAGAGCTGCTAGAGAATACAACCATTCATCCCTCCTTGGAACTATTATTTACGGAATATCAATACAATTAGCGACCAAGGCAGAGAGACCGAATGACTGCAATTTTTTCGCCCTTCGATATGCAACCAAGACTAATCAATCAAAGCTTAATCTAACCACTAAGTTGCAGCTTGTCGAAATATAAAGTGTGAGGCTATGAGTGAATTGACTGCTTTAATTAAATGTCATTTTATCCATGGATTGGTAACCTTTGGGGTTTGCTAGGTTGAGGACGCCTTTTATCTTGGATTTCTTGTGTTGGTTTGAGAGTTTGGAGAGGAATGGTGTTATCGGTTTAACTACAGGCAAGTCAGGTTGGTCACGGCGTTCAGTTGTGAAGTCAATGGAGGAGGCAAAAGGAAACGACTCAACCAAGAAGTACGCTAAGAGCATGGACCACTAGTTAGGAGGTCTATATTACTTCGTACTTTGAGAGAATACAACCTTCCTTCTTTGCAACTATCTCAACCATCATCCCTCAATACAACTGAGCCCAAGAATTATCACCTAAGCGGGTCTGGAACCAGTGGAGACGCCGTCGGCGCAGAGCCAGCCAGTATCAGAACTGCAGGCCAGATAAATCCATGGATTACATTCGTTGAAAACTCCAGAAAAACTCCACGTCTACCGCAGAAACCCAAGGGGATACACATCGTCGTCGACCTACGCCCTTATTTTGATGACCGTCCTTGATCCTTACGACGAGCCGGGCGGGCCGGTGGGCCCATTATGCCCGGCAGCTTGTTAGACACCTTATTATGCGGCACGACAGACGGCGTGATCAACCGAGGGGGCACTCTCGACATCACGACACCACCCAAGAGCATACCGCCCCCATAAAGTTGCGTATCCGCTCTCCATCGCGCCAGCGTCCGAAAGCCGAGCCTCTCAAACAACATCCGCTGGGCGTAGAGCGGCGTCAAGCATGTCCTCAGCCCGAGCCGGTCCGACCGCGCGAGCAAGAATCGCATCATCTCCGTCCCGAGACCCATGCGCTGGATATCTGGCCGCACTGCCATGCTGAGGATACCTGTTCAACCCGCCCAACAAAAAACAAAGTAAGTACTGGTGGTCAGTCTTTCGCGTACTTCCTTCACCCCTAGCCTCGGTGTGCATATACGCCGGGCAATGGAAATGAAAATGAAAATGAGCTTACGGATAGCCTTGTTCGGGGCGAGGGTCGAATAGATACTGAGCACTTTCTCCATCCGTTCCCAGATGTAATTGATCGCATCGATGTTGACCCCAGGCGGCAGACAATCCGCGCCGCACTGGTGGAATGCTGGGTCATCTCCGTAGGTACCCGGTTCTTGCCACCATATCGACGCCATGATCCTGCTGTAGTTCCGTCCATCTCTGGCTTAGCCATGCATGTTATGTTATCCCGAGGAGGGAGTAGGTAGTAGGTAGTACGAGTGTGGTGTCTGCATTAACTCACCCCGTCTCGCTGTCCACCATCTTGTAGAATTGCATAAACGGCCGCTCCAAGAACATCGCCGTCCAGTGCACCTCCCACATGGCCAGGTTATCCGGCAAGATATTGATTGGATACAGGCTGCTAAAGTCTGCAAATGCTTGCGACTTAAGCTTGATAAGGCTGGGAATATCCGCTGGGACAATCGTCTCCATTCGGAAGTTCATATTTTCTTCTTCTTTTTCCTTTCATATATATATATTTGGCCGGGTAACGGGTTTGCTTGATTAGGTAGGCGGATATCAGGATGCAAAAGAGCGTTATGGTTATGGTTATAGATAGGTATGGGAAGATGTATACATATATAGACGTAGCTAGCTAGCTGGATGATTCATAGTGATTTGTTTGTACTCTCTCTGGCTGTGAATAGCCGCTACTCAGCTATATGAGTAGGAGTACAGGATTTCATGCAGCGTTCAGCTGTGCGTGGGTGCCCTGGATGGATGACTTGAGGACGTCGTACCAGTGACAGTACCAGTACCGTTTTGTTTACAAATATCTTTCTCTGAGAATTAATTCATCCGGAACGCTTTAACTATACCTGTATCGCGCATAGTGAGAAGTCTTGGTGGTAGGTTCGAAACTTCTCCCGCTCAGGAAAGAAAAATTAAAAATTGATTACTTCATTCACAGTTGAAAATTTATCATGGCGCAAAAATGGAAAGTTTGATGATCAATAAAAAGAAGAACAGAAACAAAGTGGTGAAATAAATAACAGAAACAAAATACGATGCAAGTAAAAATTATTATCAAGCGCAAGCGGGTATAAGACTTTAAATCCTCAAACAGCAAGCGCCAAACCAAATCCAAGCCCTCAGCTAAATGAGCTATACTCCATCCCTATAATGAGATCCTCTGCACTCTACCAAAAACTTTTGATATGTAGTGTCTACCCTATCTACATGCTAAATTTAAGCTTAAGCTTAAGCTTACTGTAAACGCCGATACTGTAAAGAGAGCAGCGTGGTCGCGCTTAATTGGTGTTAATAGAGGAGAATGATTGGCTCTGCTGCAAGGGCGACGAGGGCGATGAGTGGTTTGGTTGCGTTGTATGTTGTAGATGGGATGGAGATACTTCATAGACGGCGCTCGATACACGAGGCTGACTGTAGGTACCGGTAGATAAGTAGGTAGATAAGTAGGTAGGTAGGTAGGAGTTAGCGACGCAACGAGCTGGCTATGGGATCTAAATTTGGTGATGGATAGGCATGAACAAATTAGGAGGGAGCGAGAACGAGGATTGATGGTATATTACGCGTTTTGATTCTTTGATATTTATCTTTTTTGGAACATGTTATTGTTTATATGATTTGTGAGGAAGAATTTTAAGTTTATGTGTGTGTGTGCAATCAGAGTCTGATGGTTAAGAAAAAAAACTTCCATCATGACGCGCGATGAGCTGGACTGACTGTATACCCTCCTATGTATACATACCTAAGGTACATAAACATATATATCCGCCTAGAGCCTCTATCCTCCTCTCTTGAGCTCTGATTTCAAAAGCGCCAAACAGGGAAAAAGTCTAGTTCATCTAAGCCCTTCCGTATCATCATGATCATGATAACAACTCCCTCCTCCGAAAAAAAAAAAAAAGGACGAAGAAGAAGAAAAAAAGATAATAAGTGACGAAAACAACAACCGCCTCTTCAAACCAACCATACCATACCAAGCTTCATTCGCCGCTCTCCTCTCCTCCTCTCATCCATCCAAAAGAAAAGAGAATTCTCCGAGTTCACTTTACCCTAGCGTCGGTCACCGCTTCCTTTAGAAATCCCATCTCAGCCCCTCGCCAGAGCCAGAGGAGCGCACAGAAAGAAAGAAGTGTAGACGTAAGCGTACAATCCATCTTTTCCAAGAAAAAGCAAGGTTATCATCTCATCACACCAACCAATCCCATAAAACCGCTCGCAAGCAGCCCCTCCGGTCGAATACAAAGCACATGGTGCTAAACAAAAAAGACTAAAGAAAGACACCGCATCAGCTACAATACAATACAGTAAGTACAGTACCGTAACCCATCTTACTCCAGCAAGCGTAGCTAGCGTTCACCAAGTAACGCCTTACTTACTTAAAAACCGCCGCCGTTCGGGATAACTACAATACCACCCAAGCCAACACAGCCCAACACAGCCCAGCTCAAGGCCCCAATCTCTCTCCAAACCCCAACCAATCTCCCATTTACCAACAATTTAGATCCAATAGATGAAACAAATCTCAACGCAGAATTTGCCTTGCAAGTGAAATTTCAAGTAAGCAAAGCGCCTAAATGGACATCAACTTGAACGCTTCTTTTCGGTAAACCATAGAGGAGCAGTAAATCTGGTCGCATTTATTGATTTATCTTGCATCTATCTCACTTGGCTCGAAGTTCTCTATCGAAGAGGAGGCTTTACTTACCTTGCTTACTTGCTTGCCAGTGAGTGAGTGAAGCGCCCACATGAAAGAGTAAGTGAGAGAACTAACCTACGAGATATGAGAAACGGGTTATTGATCTCAAGGGCTTGAAGGAGGAGGAGGAGGAGGAGGAGGAGTATGACAATGGGACTATTTAGCATCCCGCTAGTAATCTATCTATCTGTCTTTCTGCAAGATCAGGTAGTCCGATTGACTGGGCTCTCATTGCAACTAACTTCCTGGATATATCCAAGGTCCGAAATGAAATGAAATGAAATGGATGAGGAACTGGAAGTGGAAGTTCAGCATTGCAGAAAGTAAGAATTCGGTGTTTGGTGAGAGACGGAGAGGGAGAGAGAGTGGCAGCTCGAGTTGAGGAAAAAAGGAGAAGAAGAAGAAGATGATTGTTGGGCAAGCAATTCGAAATAGCAGGTGCAAGACTACTGGTCTTGGCAATGTATTGCGCCCAATTTGGGATGTGTTATTGCCGTTTAGAATCGCTACTGATGGCGAGTGTGGAAAGAGTCGCCAAGGCTAGACCAAGGATATAGAGTAGAGACCTAGCTCTGCTTTTGAAAGGGAAATGTAAAGATTTTTATGAAGAGAAATTGCCTAGAGGATGATGGCAAGACTACATGCAAACAAAAAACAAACTCGTGAAGGAGCCAGAACAAATACAGGTTGATATGTACAAATCTCAATTACCAAATCGTCTATAGGTCCTTACGGAAAACCTCTGTCGACCACGGCTCGCTCGTCAAGTTCGTTAATCCCGCGCTGTTCTCACAAGTCTTTCGTCCACTCATAGGACCCGGTGCCGGAATGGGGATACCCCCCTTCTTGTATATCCTTCCAGCATCCTTCCCAACATCCGCTCCGCTCTTTACGTTCTTGTCCTCTCCAGTAAGGGCTCCCGTGCCTGCCTCAGCACCTTGGCTAGATGCGGTCGTCTCCACGGAATTCGCGCTCTCTTGCAGGGCAGTCAATAGTGAGATTGTGCTCTCGGGGGTCAGGTCTTCGTAGAAATCGTCATTGATCTGAACCATCGGTGCATTGACGCAGGCACCAAGGCATTCGACTTCGACAAAGGTAAAGAGTCCATCCTTGGTGGTTTGCCCGGCCTTGATGCCCAAGTGCTCTGAAATCGTTTTAACAATTGCGTCGCTGCCGCATCCTCCGAGTTGACAAGGCGTCTGTTCACCCCCATTAGACCTCATCCGTATTCGACAAATCCAGTCCATCCCTGCTTACCGTTGTGCAGGCCTGAATGTGCCACTTCCCCACTGGATCCCGGTTGTACATTGTGTAGAAGGTAGCAACCTCATAAACACGCATGGGAGGCATCTCCAACATCCGTGCCACCTCATTCATTACACTCAAACTGCAGAAGCCATGTTGCCGTTGTCCAAGGTCGAGAAGTGGCATCACAGCCGCCTTCTTGTACTGGGGAGGGTAGCGCTTAAGGATCTCGTCGACGAGCTTGTTGTTCTGCTCGGTGAACTTGAAAGGAATGCTGGCATTATTGACGGGGGTATCTCGATGCTGAGAAGGGAAGCGTCAGTATCTGCGGAGCTTTGGGGGAGGTTCGAGGAGGCGTACGACTTGGAGGGCATCGCTGGTAACTCTCGGGCTGGCGGTAAAAGAGCGAATGTGGGATCGTGAAGCTATCCGCGCAGGTCGGGCAGCAGTCCGGAACACGAAGGGGGCAATCTTGGATGCCATTGTCGCGGTGGAGAGGCACAATGGCTGTGGTGTGTGCGAGGTAAAGTATGATAATCGTGATGATGGATGCATTTGAGATGGGTCACATATGATTGGCGTGTGAAGCTCCATAGAGGGTCACGTGTAGGTACTTCCCTCAACGCCAAGTCCAGTATCCAGACAACATCAACGACAACGACATCGATACCAACTAAGATTTCTTCGTCTCTACCACACTCTAGCAATGACCCATGATCTATTCCGAGCAGGAATTTGAGTCTGAGATAATTTTCTAAATCTGTCCATGAGCGTCACTTGGGTAATGTTACTGACTAATCCAGCAAGTGCTGCTTTCTAATTTGTTATATGAGTTTGTATTTGTTCTGCTTCACATTCTTTTACAAATACTCCTCACCAGATTTTCATTCAGTCTTCATCACTAGTATACCGCCCGTTAGTTATGGGGTAACAAACAACCGTTTTCATCAAAAGTTGGTTCATCCTCACGCAACCGAGTCCCCAGGTTCTCTTGCCCCAGGCATACGGCGCGATGGCTGAAGATTGTCCGAGTAAGATATTGGCAAAGCGCTCGGTATGAATTTAGATGACTGGAATGATATCAGTGTTTGGAAATCAGCAGTGACTTCTACTCTTGTTCTACCTTGATCTTATGGCTTTCCTCAATAGCTCTATGCCTTTTCGGGAGTAACGAGGCGCATGCTTTTGCATACCATCTTACGCCATATTCCCTCGGAGAGAACCGTAGGAAGGTCCTGGAATGGTCCCTTGAAAAGGCTGCCTTGAGGAATTTGTATCCTCAAGTAAAATCCGAAGTTCTATCTGGTCTGCGAAATGGGCGCACGATTTGGCAGGGGCTTGCTTACCCAGAGTCAATCCTTATTTGCATAGACGTGGAGGCAGCTTCGTGGTGTTGCTTCATGGGCCATGATACGGCTACTATTTTTCGCTGCACAGAAATGCAAATGCAAATGCAAATGAAAATGCAGAGACTTCATTGTCTGAAAAAGATATCATCGATGATACGAGTAAGAAATTCTCCGGCCTAATCATAAAGTAGAACTCTGATCACTTCATCCAGAGGATACTTATACATCAACATTTGGATCGCACTTTTATCCTTGGCTTTATATCTCGATTTCTGCTTTCTTGCATCGACATATGATAAGGACAATCTCACGGGTGTTTGAGCTCGCTCTTGATGTTTTCTGACGTTCTGTTCATCCCATGGCTGAAAGATGGCTTTGAAGCGCTGGTTTGTTATGGTTGCTTTGACCTGATACTTACATATATACCCCTCCACTCCCAATTCTTCAATCCCCCCTTTCTCCCAGCATTCAACTCCAATCCCAGATCAGTACTGCCAACCGACAAATACGACCTTGGTACCCAATAATGATCTTCTCAGACATCCTCTCCGTCTGCCTCCGCGTCTGCGAGGTACAAAATCCATTCCCCATCTCTCTACCTTTCCCTCACTTTAAAACTAAGCTGCAAAATCCAGCTCGCTAATCCATTGACTTCGTACCTTACCTCAGCTGGCATTCTCCATCCTCTCAGCCAGCCTAACAGCCACCCATCTCCACCTCACCCGAAACACGTCCGCCACCTTCTCGTACTCCCAGCAGAACCGCTTGATCTACGCCGAAGTCATCGCTGCCCTCTCCATCCTCTTCTCCCTGCTCTTCCTCCTAGTACTCTCTCCCTCCCTCCCATCTTTCTACCTATTCCTCGCACTCACCCCTCCCTATCCACACTCTGTCTTCCCCTCCTCCTACGTCCTAAAATACTCCTCTCACTTCCGCATATCATACCACAAGCCCCTGCACAAGCTCTAACAAACCCCACCCAGCCTTTCACAGCTTCGCTCTACCACTACCACTACCGCTACTTAATTAGCATCGGCATTGACATCGCCCTCTCCGCCGCTCTGATAGCCGCCTTTGCGCTGCTACTGAATCAGCGCGCCCACTCGCACTCGCACTCGCACTCACCCAGCCGCAACAGCACCTGCCAGATCCTCAAAGCTAACATCGCTTTCCTCTTCCTATCCAGTATCTTCGTAAGTCCCCCCCCTCCTTATCTCTCCTCTAAGTATAGCCGAGTCTAGTCTCGGGCTCATCCTCCTTTGGAAGAGACTCTCGAGTGGAAACGAATTAAATTTTTTTTTTTTTTTTTTTTTTCGGGTATCTGTGTTTGGAGAAAGTCGTTGACTTTGCTGATGCGGAGAATTAGTTCTTTGTAAGTGCCGTCCTGAGCGTGTATACATGCTGGAATATGAATGAGGATAGGAATGAGGATAGGAATGAGAATCGGGATGGGGGTCAGAGTGGGAGGGACGTGGTGGTGGAGAGTAGGGGTGCTAGGTGGAGGGAGAGTAGGTGGCTGGGACGTGGAAGGAGGTATTAGATTGGGGATAGAAGAGAAGAAGGAGGGACAGACAGAGAGAGAGAGTTGAGATGTCTGATGGATTTAAAGTATTGGCCAGGGAAGGAATGAAGTTAGGTTGATATTGCTGCTGCTGTCTGTGTGGGCGCCATGAATAGGGAGGGTATCCAGAGGATGTTGTGATGCCATGGATGTAGTTCGCTAAATTGTCTCGGCTAATCAACCTTCGGTGCAACAACTCTATCCCCAACATGTATTCTTTTTTCTCGAAAAAGAATCTACAAAGAGGGTAAGAATGTGACAGGGCGAATTGCAAAGAAACGATCTAGATTCTAGTAGATATATGCGTCCACGCTAATACCACAGACAAAGCTTACAATTCGTCCTTCCCACTTTGAGATAACACAGGCTCATGCGGTCTACCGCTATCCTCCTGCAGATCCACTCCGATCTTCTTCCTCCACTTCTCCCATAGCGCCCAGAAGTCCTTCTCCATGCCACTCTCCATTTGATCCGGCAGCACGACCTGGTATTCGACGATCAAGTCTCCGAACTCGGTACTGTGGTAGACGCTATCGCCATCCTCGTGCCACTTCGGCATCCCTTCTCCCTTGACTCGCTCGACCTGCCCGGGCTGAATTGCCTCTCCGCGTTTTCGGGAGAGCGCGACAACATGGCCATCGAGATGAGTCAGGTTACGCGTCCAAGAGCCCATCCAGGCCTCTCTAAGCGAGAGCACCTCCCTCCAGTACAAATCATGCTCCTTGCGTCGGAAGAACGTCCCGTCGACCTTCAACTCGTTGTCCTCATCGATATTCGCCTCCTTCTCCACAAGCGTGACGTGCAGATCACCAGACTCATAATCCGGACTCTCGTCCGCCTCGCCCTCGTATGTAATCATCTGCCCCTTCGGCGCACCCTTGTCAACCACAAGTGAGTGGGTGATGACTTTCCGCATGACCTTGTGGCCTTTGCACGCCGGACATTTGTGCTTGATAGTCTTTCCCTGGCCTCCACAAGCTTCGCAAGGGACTTGTACCTGCTGATAGATGCCCGGGGCGAGCATGTGTTTCTTGATCTGCACTCGTTGGCCGCGACACACATTACACGTATCGACCTGCCCGTCCGCACTGCCAGACCCGTCGCACTCGTCGCAAATCTGTTGTTTCTCCAGCTGAAATTCCGTCGTATGGCCGTTGTAGAAATCCTTCAAGGGGACGCCAACGCGGACCTCCATGTCGGGTCCCCGTCTCTGGCCCTGGTTTCTAAAGTGACCCCCACCGCCGCCGCCGAAGAAGCGCGAAAACAAATCGAACGGGTCATGACGCCCGCCACCTTGACCACCTTGTTTGCGCTGCTGGAGCCCTTCATGCCCATACTGATCATAGATCTTGCGGGACTCGGGGTCGGCAAGGGCTTCGTAGGCTTCGGCAACCTCAACGAACTTTTGCTTTGCCTCGTCGTTTCCACTGATAGCGGTGTGAGTATATTGTGCTAATGATTTCGCAGGAGAGGATATAGGGGGAGTCTGTACGGATTCTTGTCCGGGTGGTATTTCTTGCTGAGGGTGCGGTATGCACGCTTTATATCCTTTTCTGAGGCTTGCTTGTCTATCCCGAGGAGCTGGGAGGAGAGTTAGTGCAAGTGGCCAGAATAGGAATTTGCATAGATTTTAGGAAATTTAAGACACGCACTTTATAAAAATCTTCCTCGCAAAATGCTACTTGCAATATGCAGAAGACGCATAGTACCAACAGAGAGGTCGAAGGGAACCACATTTTGGCGCCGAGTTGCGCCAACCCTCGAATAATAAGCAGAGAGATTCAAAAGACTTCAATTGGCGAAGAAGGATGCAGAATCAAAAGTAACAAACGAGGGAACTGAAATACACAGAATCGTTGGGTCCTACAACTCCTACAAGTGTGGATTGAGCGGGCTTGATTCATGACATCTGGTCTCTTTACAAAGTCAATGGCGATAACAGATTGGCGGATTAAAGTTACCCCGATCAATTCCAACCGAGCTTCGGAGGCAACAATCATTTAGTTACTGAGAACTTCATCAGCTTGTTCACTTCGCTTTCTCACAAGTCTGTTATCCACTCAATCAATAACATCAAGAATTGTGCTAATCGTGGCATAGAATTTCTGTACTCCTCATTCCACCGCAACCATGAGCGGGAAAAAATATGCGCTTCTGCCTATGGAAGACGATGACCTCGGGCCAACGAAGGTTGTAGAGCGTAAGAAAGAGAAAAGGCGTCATGGCGAAAAATTATCTTCTCGCCGCGATAAGCCCAGGGATAGGAGTCGGGACAGAGAACGAGAACGTCAGAGGTCACCCCGCCGCGAAGAGCACCACCGATCAAAAACCATCCGCAAACGAGACGCCCACGAGGCCGATTTTGAGGATCGATGGGGCGACGAAGAGTATATTTCCGAGCCAGAGCCAGAGCCGGAATTTCAGGAGTCTGCGTCGAAGAGGGTCAAGACTTCACATGCCGACGAGGATGAGGAGGGGCTGGATGATGAGGAGAAGGAGAGGCGGAGGGACCAGGCTGAGAAAGATGCTTTTGTGAAGAGACTGCATGCCAAAGATGCCGATAAGACGAAGAAGATTGTGGAAGATCGGTCTTCGACGAAGGAAGGGACGATTCTGGCGCAACGGAGAGCGCTGGCTGAGGATGCGGCTGCGAGGAGTGCGGCGATGCCTGATCTCAGGGAGAGGTCGCGACAGGATTACCTGAAGAAGCGTGAGGCAGAAAGACTGGCTCTTCTAAGGAAGCAAGTTGCGGAGGAGCAAGAGGAGCTACGGAGTGGTGCCAGGCTGACGGAGAGGGAGAGAGCGGAGTTTGCCAAGAACAGAGAGGTGCTGCGAATTGCTGAGGAGCGCCTACGTATCGACGATCATCTTGATGGATATGCTATGCCCGATGACTATATCACGGAGAAAGGGAAGATTGACAAGAAGAAGAAAGAAGCCGCCATGTACAAGCGCTATGTGGACAGGGACGAATACGGCCAAGAGAAGTTCGTCACGGAACACGAGGAATGGGAGAAGGAGCAGGCTGCAAAAGCCAAGTCACAAATTCAGAGCAGGGAGCGAGACGAAGATAACGAGTACGACTACGTTTTGGATGCCGAGCAGGGCATCAAGTGGATTCAGGATGCGGCTCTTCCTGGAGAGGGAAAAGGGTTGAGTAAAGAGGAGAGGTTTCTTGCCGAGCAATTGAAAGCTGCCGAGACGAAAGCCATGTCTATGGAAGAGACGCGCAAAAGTCTGCCGATTTATGTTTACCGGGAGCAGTTCCTGGCAGCCTTGGAAGATCATCAGATTCTGGTCATCGTTGGAGAAACGGGGAGTGGAAAGACAACTCAATTGCCACAATACCTACACGAAGCAGGTTACACGAAAGGTGGTTTGAAGGTTGGTTGTACCCAACCGCGTCGGGTTGCCGCTATGAGTGTTGCGGCACGTGTTGCAGATGAGATGGGTGTCAAGGTTGGAAATGAGGTTGGATACTCTATCCGATTTGAAGATTCGACTAGCGACAAGACTATCCTCAAGTACATGACCGATGGTATGCTGTTAAGAGAGTTCATGACAGAGCCAGATCTAGGTGCATACTCGGCTCTCATGATTGACGAAGCCCACGAGAGAACAGTGCATACCGACATCCTATTGACACTGATCAAGGATCTTTCCCGGGCTCGGCCTGAGATGAAGATCCTGATATCTTCTGCTACTATGAATGCGACGAGATTTAGCGAGTTCTTCGATGATGCCCCAATTTTCAACATCCCAGGTCGAAGATATCCTGTCGACATACATTACACACCACAACCTGAGGCGAATTATTTAGCCGCAGCCATTACCACGGTCTTCCAAATCCACACCTCTCAGGGTAAAGGTGATATCTTGGTCTTTCTGACAGGACAGGATGAAATTGAAGCAGCCGAACAGAACATCACAGAAATTTCGAGGAAGTTGGGAAACAGGGCAGCGGAATTAATAGTGTGTCCTATATACGCCAATCTACCGTCCGAATTGCAAAGCAAGATTTTCGAACCAACACCCAACGGTGCTCGTAAAGTTGTCCTGGCCACCAACATCGCCGAAACGAGTCTGACAATTGATGGCATCGTCTATGTCATTGATCCTGGATTTGTCAAGGAGAACAACTACAATCCAGCAACCGGCATGTCTCAATTAGTAGCAGTACCGTGTTCACGCGCGTCTGCCAACCAAAGAAGTGGTCGTGCTGGCCGTGTTGGACCTGGAAAGTGCTTCCGACTGTACACTAAATGGGCTTTCATGAACGAGATGGAGGAAAGCACCACACCCGAGATCCAGAGAACCAACCTCAACAGTATAGTTTTGACACTGAAATCCCTTGGGATTAATGACCTTCTGGAATTCGAATTCATGGATCCACCCCCGACCGAAACACTGATAGGCGCGCTGAACTCGCTCTTTGCGCTCCAAGCTCTCAATCATAACGGGGAGTTGACCTCTCTCGGCCGTAAGATGGCAGAATTTCCCATGGACATCATGCTCGCCAAGTCCGTCCTCTCAGCCGACAAACTTGGCTGCGTCGAGGAAGTCCTCTCCATCGTCTCCATGCTCAGCGAAGCAGCAGCTCTGTTCTTCCGCCCCAAAGACAAGAAGCTGCACGCCGACAGCGCCCGTGCCCGCTTCACCGTCAAGGAAGGCGGCGACCACCTCACCCTCCTCAACATCTGGAACCAATGGGTCGACAACGACTTCTCTCCCATCTGGGCCAAAGAGAACTTCCTACAACAGCGCTCGCTGACCCGCGCCCGTGACATCCGCGATCAAATCGCCAAACTGTGCGAGCGGGTCGAGGTATCCATGTCTTCCTGTGGCGCTGCCGAACTTGTGCCTATCCAAAAAGCGATCACGGCGGGCTTTTTCCCGAATGCGGCACGTTTGCAGAGAGGAGGCGACAGTTACCGTACGGTGAAGAACAACTCAACGGTGCATATTCACCCGAGTAGCGTGCTCATGGACTCGAATCCACCGATCAAGATGGTGCTCTATTTTGAGCTTGTGCAGACCACGAAGGAGTATATGCGGAACTGTATGCCGATCAAACCCGAGTGGTTGCATGAGGCTGCGCCGCATTACCACAAGAAGAAAGACCTTGATGCGCTAGAGGAGAAGAAGATGCCGAAGAGTAGGATATGATGTGTAGATAGTGAGGGGGGAGATACCAGGGGTACAATTTCGTTCAGGGAGATGTTGGGAATACGTAGCTGACTAGTCATCAAGTGAGCTGTGAAAGGTGTGACCAGTATTTCAATATTTCTCTATGTGGTATCTTCTCTGCCGCGTGGTGTCAAAATATTCATCGGATATAATCGAGCTTGACTAATCGAGGCTTAATGTAAAAGACAACACGTTCAAACATCCTGATTAAACGGACCTTATTCAACTTAATCTACGCTGTAAGACAATCTGAAGCCCGCAAAAAACCATCCCGATAATTGACTTTCATCCGGCTTAAACTTACGCAGCGCCCAAGATAGCCCACCGCTCGCCTCCACTATTACCCTTCACGTTTCCGTTTCATCCCCCTTCGCCTCCAGCACACTTAATTTCTCGCTTCCCGCTCATGATCAACACATAGCTTCCATGCCTACTAGATGTTACCTATCATCAACTAGTCTTCTTCACTCACAACAACAACTCAACACGTCTCTTTTCAGACCACATCGTACGGAATGGCATCCTCCTCACCCACACCTAACCCCACCCCAACAGCGATCTTCTGGGAACTAATCGACCCCCTCCTCTTCCTCTGGCAATCGGCAACCCACATCCCACTCACCATCCTCTCCCTCCTCCTCCGCCTCTCGGTGCGTACGCTCCTATCCCCGGTCCTCTTCAAGGACGCCTGGTTCGCGCGCTTCTGGGCCGAGGTCGGCCCCGAGACGCGCGCCAACGCCCTCCCGCGCGCGGGTCCGCTCGTCGCATCCGCGTTCGGCATCGTGCTGGATGTTGGGCCTGGGAGTGGGGAGTGGGTCAGCATGTTTGAGAGGGGGAAGGTGAGTCGGGTGTATGGGGTTGAGCCGAATCGGGAGCTGCATGCGAGGTTGAGGGAGAGGGTTAGGGAGGCGGGTTTGGAGGACGTGTATGTTATTGTGGGGGTTGGAATCGAAGAGTTGTGAGTCTGTTTTCTTGTGGGGGTCTCTTGCATGGGGATGTTCTTTTCGTTTGTGGGCTGGCTGGCTGGCTGACTGGTAGGCTTCTATCCTAGGGGTGAGAAATGGGTTGGGTTTGGGGAAGTCGATACGATTGTCACGATCCAGTGTCTTTGCAGCGTACCTGACCCGAGAAAGACGATTGGGGAGTTGTATGGGTACCTTAAGGACGGAGGTCGCTGGGTGGTCTATGAGCATGTGGTTGCTTTTGAGCATCAAGGCTGGTTTGTCAAGAAGTGGCAAGGTAAGTCAATTAGTCACATTACCCCTTATGAATATGATGAGATTGAAACATATAAGGGGGATGTGTACTAAAGTGTGTTTATGTAGCTACAATTGATCTCCTCTGGCCGCATTTCATAGGCGGATGTTCTATCACGAGAGATACGTCTACCTGGCTGAAGAAAGCTGGTCCTTGGACGAAGGTCGACTTGAAGCAGCCAGAGGACGAGGCTTTTTGCCATGTTATTCCTCATATTATGGGTTCTCTCACTAAGTGAGTGAGTGGTACTTCGGTTGATGGAGGGACAACTGGTATCATTTGGTCGATTGCAAGGAAAAGGAGCAAATTCTGCGGTTAGGCTTTGATGTGAACCTCGATCATACTACAGCGATATCTGATGCACATTTTGGTTTTTTTTGGTTCCCAAAATGAACGGTCAACCTAGTAATACAAGGTCTGATCCATGGCGGCCCTCCGCAAGCTCCGGGGCCAGGGGACCTTGCTTCGCCCCGGTCGTAGGGCAAGGCTGCCTTTCGAGGCTTTAATATAAAGCGAAGTCCGGAAAACTTCGCGATCAAACGATTAAGTATAAATGAATCTCGTTTGTTTTTGTACATAATCTTTTATACGCAGCTAAATTTCATCTTCGAGCTTCTTCCGGGAACTTGATTCTTTTATATAACTCAATTCGATACCTATACTTTGCTTTCCATTCTTGTTCGCCCGCAACTCTACCCCACTTTCGTAATACTACGTAGCTTTCGTGAATCCGTGTTGCTCGGCTGTAATACCGTAGTAAAGCTTTTCATTCTTTAGCTTATACTTTCCGACGAATATTTCGAGCGTATTTCGAAGGTGCTTTACGCTTTCCATATATCGACCAAGTACTGTAAAAAATCGATCGAAGAAAAAAAAAAAAAGATCGCGGATTTCAGCGCAACTGGAGCAATAGCGAGCGGTATCGTCACCTGGTAAGGTTTCGTGTACGTCCTTCGTAATCGATTCCGTAACTGATTCTGTAACCGATTCCGTAACCGATTTCTTGAGTTCAGCTGATGCCTCTTAAAGCTTCCCGGCCGTCTGCCACCTTTTAAATCTCTTATCGTCCGAAAACATTGATAGCGGTTGTAACAGCTGCTTATCGATATCGTTCGTAAAGATATCGGCCTCTTCCGTAGAAATATCGGCCTCGGCTTCGGTTTATTATCCAGCTTGTTCAAGCTCATATTACATCTCTTCTCGATTCTATCGCTCGGTATCATCGTACAACCGATTCTATTGCTTTTTTTCTTCGCGATCCGCTCTCTATATTGCTTAATTCTTTATAATTCAAATCCGTAGCTTAGCTTTTTTTTCTCTTCGTATACGTCGATCGTATCGCTCTTAAATGAATTCGCCTATTGCTTCTCGATACTAATCGAGTTTTCGGTTTTTATAAACATTATAAATTGAATTCCGGTGCCCGTTAGCTCGCATAAAAAAGTCCGTAATCTGCCGATAAGATTTGCAGCCCGAACAGCGCAACCGATTGGTAAGAAAACTGGCCATATTAAATAGTTCGTTCGAGTGAATAGTTCAACCAAAGGTTTAAAATAGTTGGACTGATTGATTTCTCGACTTCGATGTTGTTGCACGGATCCTTCACACGTGATTAGACGTGACAGCGTCCGAGTTCTCCGGAAAGATAACTCAACATAAGACTGAAAGGATGTAAGGAGGGCCCACCTAAGCGAGCCGACGATTACCGTACAGTAATATAGGACGTAAGAGAACGTTGGGATGCAGCCTCAGGCGCCAACAATCTCGACTCAAAAAATTCACAGTCGGGAGCTCAATTACAGAGTTCTTCGCCCTATTCAAAGAGCTCCCAAAATTTTCAAAGTAGCCTCCCTCTCGCAGAACTCGGCCCCAATGCCTTCGACACAGTATCTACGCACACATCTCCATCCCAAGTATCGCCCCTGATGTACGAATTCCGCGCGCCCTTCCCGGCACCCAGCAATGATCCCCCACCAAACGACCCCTCCAGCTTTTCGAATCCGATAGCTGAGCCAGAAAACGAAGATGAATGGGAATACGAATACTCAGCGACTGAAACTGAGGTCCGCTGTCTCCGAACCAATCTACAAGTCGTATGTGAGCTAACAGTCCTTTATTTAGACTTTCTATGTGACCCTCGACCTCACGACCCCAGATGTACCCGGACAGCCACGCCAGTTAGTGTATAGAGATGCAAAGAAGCAGAGATACACGCTACCGGGAATGGGGAAGCACAAGCAAAAGGTTCGGCTTCCGGAAGATCATTTGAGGGGTGCACCGGTCTATATGATTGAAGAGGAGGACGACGGTGACGCAGAGCCGGCGCCGGAAAACAACGAAGGGGAGGAGGAAGCAGATACTACCGCCAATCGACAGAATACCTCATCAAATGCGGGAGCAGAGAAGGATAGAGGGGCAAACTCACATTCGACAACAAACTCGCATCCCCCTTCAGCTGGAAGGGCTGAAACAGAAACCCTAGCAAAACCGCAGCACTCTGCAGTCACCGGTGCTGGATCACCTCCGCTTCCAACCGAGAACGACGAGGAGGAAGCAGACAGGAATCCGTCTAGATTTCGTCCGTTGCTAAAAAGACGCCCGGATTCTCCGCCTCGGCCTATCGTCAAGCCAGAGCCCCCAAGACCGACCGACGTCCAAATCCTAGACATCCACACTACTAAACCTCTCGTCTCCTACAATGGCCATGTCTATGTATGCCGATGGTCTGAAAACATCGGCACAGAACTGCTATTCATGTCGCACGACCCTACCAACTCCCTCCCAAAACTTCGCTCCCTAGGGGATGACTGTAGCGTAGACCTGCTCGCTGCCTCTTCCGCACGCATCGTGTCTACATCCGTGCGTCTACAAAAGCACGGCGTCGACCAGCAAAAAGCCAAGTACGGCGCGCGTAAAGTTAAGCCTAAGATCCCGCGCGGGCAAAGCGAGGCGCGGAACACGCAGGCCGCTTTTCTGGAGCAGTTCATAGAGGTGAAGGAGGAAGCTGGCGAGGAGGATAATGTCACTGTACACGTGCAGAAGCGGCTGACCAATTCAAAGTGGAGGGCGCAGATGATGGAGTTGAGAGTCATGGAGCGGGAGAATCTGAGTGAGATTATTCATGGAGAACGCAGTAAGGCTATGAGCGAGGAAGAGATTGGTAGAGCAAGAGAGAGGCTGGCGGAGATGGATGAGGAGGACGAGGAGATGAGGAAGGCGGAGGAGGGTGAGGGTCCTGATCGGAGATTCAGGAAGCGCAAGGCGAAGGCGAATGCTAATCCGGAAGATCCTGGCACTGCGAAAAAGCCGCGGGGTATCGACTGGGGGAAGTCGACGCTGCCTCTTGGGGACTTCTTGAACCGGGAAGATGGTGATGCCCAGTCGGTGGGGACGCCGACTGTGGACGGGGAGAGTGTGGCAGCTGGGAGCCCGCGGCAGATAGATGACGGGGATGAGGATGGCGAGGAAGGAGATTTTGCGAGCATGTATCGGTACGAGCAGTACGGGTCGCCTGAGGGGATGCGCTTCGAGCAAGATGAGTCGGACGAGGATGATCTGGGGGCAGAGGATGATTATTAAGAAGCAGCTGCATCTCGACCTGGAGATTTCGCTCGTACAGATAGGTAGGTATTTTGTACTCTATGCAATGATTTTTCCAACAGCCCTGGACTCCATCTGTGCGGCCGCCGTTTCCGCTATTGGAGTACCATGTAAGTAAGTAAGTAAGTAAGTAAGTAAGTAACTGACTGTATCTGGGGCTGCGTTTCTGGCTTGTTGATTAAGGCAGGTGTCGGTAAAGACACTTGCAGTGACAGACTACCGGTACTGCGTTCATTGCATGTCAAAAGCTCGACTCGAGATTCCCAGAAAGCTTCGGGTCGCGTGGTCTTTTCTTCTCCTCCCAGAGAGATCGACCTCTGCATCTCCTACTAACCGAATCGCGAGAAAAAAAAAAAAAGCTGCGGTCGCGACTTCTTCGCTTGGGGACTACCTCGGCGACGTTGTGTTTTTTTTTTCAAGAAAACAAGTAGGCAGGCGACCGACCGACCGCTCGCTCGCGCCAAGGGTAAGCATGACTTGAAAGAGCCACCCCGTGTGTGACGATCGGCGCTGTCCTTTGTGATTTCCGTCTGGGAAGCGCCCTCGAAACAATCCAACTACTGACACCACCCATCTAGGATCGAGATCTTTTCAGAAGGGTAAAAGAAGAGAGGAGAAAGAGAAAACAACGGAAGACCGAAGACAGAAGACATGAATGCCACGTCGTCCTGGGAGGTCGGTTCAAGAAGCGGCCTGGTGTCAATCGGCACGCACTCTCTGTGTAAGTCATGATGTGACGTGTTATGTCTCTAGATATCCTAGAGAGGTACTACTACTTCCATCCCCTTTTTTTTGGGGATCAGGCAAGAAAAAGAG